TTGAACTCACAGAGATCCGCCTGCCTCTGCCTCCCGAGTGCTGGGATTAAAGGCGTGCGCCACCACCGCCCGGCCGTCTCTGTTTCTTTCTTAAACATGAATGTACACCTCCCCCCCCCCCCTTTAGGCCTGATTTCTATTCTTTCAGTCTGTTTACATGCCATCTCCTTTTGTTGTTGTTGTTTTGTTTTTTAAGATGTTTCTTATGTAGTCCTGGGTGTCCTGGAACTTACTCTGGCCTCAAACTCAGAGATCCACCTGCCTCTGCCTCCGGAGTGCTGAGATTAAAGGTGTGTGCCACCACTGCCTGCTAAATGCCATCTCCTAATGGGGCTTTCCTTGGCCCCCTCAGACTAGTGAAGCCCTTTTGAAATAAGGTCACTATGCTAAATATATAACAACATGGATGGAGTATTCCCATTGTACTTGCTCAGTCTTTACAGATATGTCTCTTAATCTATGCAGAAGCCCTGTGAGCATGCCTTCTCTCTGTTTATCCACCTTGCTCAAGGTCTTGTGGCCAATAAGTAGCAGGAAATTCAAATGGGGCGATTCCAAGCCAGTGGCCTCGGAGAGCCCATGGACCGCTCTCTACTCCCTCACCCCGTCCCCAGATTACATAATATGTGTTTTCTCTGCAGGATGAGGACAGGGCCCTTATCTGTTATTTGCTGTTCTGTGACCACACAGCGTGGACCAATAAACACTGGGAGCTCAGTCGGTGCAATGTTGGCGGACTTTCATCCACATTCTCTTCCATAGAAATTCCATAGAAAGCCGGCAGTGGTGGCGGCACACGGCTTTAATCCCGGCACTCGGGAGGCAGAGGCAGGAGGATCTCTGTGAGTTCAAGGCCAGCCTGGTCTACAGAGCGAGATCCAGGACAGGCACCAAAGCTACACAGAGAAACCCTGTGTGGAAAAACAAAAAACAAACAAAAAAATTGCATAGAAAAAGAAACCAAACCTATAGACTATATAATAAGTTTCCCCACTGTTCCTTACTTATGGCAGGGCAGCTAGCATCTTGTAAGGCCCAGGGTTAGGCTGCTTAGCTGAGGAATGCTGCTGCTGTTGGCTTCAGACAAGTGAACGTTAGATGTTTTGAGTTTCCAGAACAGGATAAATCAAGAAGTTGCAGCAGGAAAGGGAATCCTGGGATTGAAGTCTGGAGTGGGGTTTTAACGGTAGAAAGATGGAGGTGAGGAGCAGAAGGTGTGAAGTAACAGAAAGGCTAGAACAGACAGAAGTAAAGGTGCCCAGTTAAGTAGGAGAGGCGGACTTGGGGAGCAGGGTCTCCACAGCCCCGGCATTGCTGACCCTGACAGCTGTGAAGTAGGTCATGCGCCTGGTTCGAAGACTAGTCGGGTAATCCACATGATAACCAATCATAGTGTACAGTGGGATGGCAGTCAGCCTGCTGCTCTAGTACCTTTGCTTGTATTTATAATTAATCCATCTCTAGATCCACCTAGCTCCTTGACCAGTCTCTTGCTAGGGGAACTTCAAGACTAGTATCCTGTGAACATTGACTTAGCCAGGAATTTCTGTTATCAGACCTCACCAGTCAAGATTTATTTCCAGCTGTGGGTTCTGAATCAAATCTTGGTCCTATTTCCTTTAAAACAGTGAACAGCTGTTCTAGTAGACCATCTCTCCATGGCCAGTAGGTCCATTGTCAAAGCCTTGAAAGGCATTTGTGATCAGAGGCATTTTCTCCTGGGGTGATGGCTGACGTGTGTGTCAGTGAAAGACGGGGAGGGTAATAGTGTCCGTGTGTGTATAAATGGGTGGGAGGATCAGTGAATGAATAGGACCCTACATCTCCATAGACAGAGGCTCCTTAAAACAGTGTCAATTACAGACAGAAATGTATCTCTGTCTACAACTGAATCAGATAGCAAAGCCAACAGATGCATGGAAGACATGCCATGTTGAAACCTTGGAAACTAGCACTGTGTGTTAGAGGAAACCCGTAGAGATGGAGAAGCACTCTGAGGAGGGTGGTACTCCAGTCAGTGCTGACTTCTAGGCCTCAGCTCAGTTGCCAGGTAGACTCCACCCTTCTGGGCTTGTCCTGTGGCTGATGCAGCTCCATGCCCACGGGCCAGTCCTTCCAGATCTGCTCTGATGAAAAGAAATGGGATCTGTTGGGGGCTAATGGTTTACTTTCCCCAGATTCTTCCTCTTAGAGATCTTGTTTCTCACAGCCCTAAACAGACTGAAAAAAGGTGGGGCGGAGGAAGTAATGTGGGTGATTCAGTTCTTGCTGTGTAAGGACCCAAATTCAGTCTCCAGAACGTGTATGAAAAGGCCCAGCCGTGTGTGTGTGTGTGTGTGTGTGTGTGTGTGTGTGTGTGTGTGTGTGTGTGTGTTGTGTTGTGTGTGTCTGTGTGTGTCTGTGTGTGTCTGTGTCTGTGTCTCCATGTCTGTTTAAACAGGCAGCTCCCTGGGTTTCAGTGGCCAGACACCCAAGCCTGATTGGCTAGTTGCAGGCCAGTGAGACTGTCCCTAAAACAAGGTGTCTGGCCCCTGAGGAATGACCACTGGGGTTGACCTCAGGCCTCCACAGACACAAATAGTCTATGTAATTCTTGTTCTTGTCTATGGTTGTACTTCTCCTATTTCTATATTCAAGTCTCTTAAATATTTCCTTTCATTTAAAAAATCAGAAAGTCTGAGGAGCTGGGGGAAAAAAAATACTTGTGTTAGACTCAGTGATGGCCCCATTCAAAACCTGATGGGAAGCTTGGCATGGCGGCATATGCCAGTAATCCCAGTTTTCAGAAGGTCAGTCTGGCTGTGTGACAAGACCTTGCAGGACAAATGGAGACTGTACCTTTGGGTGGCAGGGGGCAGCAAAGGGAGGCATGCAGCGGGCACAGGAGGGTGGCTAGTCCTCGGGCTGTGCAGGACCGCTGGAGGGCTGGGGCGGCCCGACGTCCCAGGGCCTGCCGTGCTCACCTGACTCGGGGCTCCAAGGAGGAAGTGTATGGTAAGTTAAGGTTGGCCACGCTGTACTTGAGTATGTAGTTGGAAAGCAAGAGGCATGTACTTCAGGTTCATTTTGTTTTATTCCTCTACCGATTTTACACTTAGTACATATGGAAGATGGACAGGAATGTTGAGTGGTTAGCAAATTATTGAAAAATTTCCTAGTCAAGAAATGCGTTTTCTTAGTAAGGAAAACTGGAATTGGTGCACCCAGCGAGCGCGTAAGTGCTGAGCCCTGTTCCCTGAGGAGCACTGAATGACCTTGTCTCCTTAGATGGATGGCGACAGTTCGACCACAGATGCCTCTCAGCTAGGGATTTCGGCGGACTACATCGGAGGAAGTCACTATGTCATCCAGCCGCACGATGGTAAGACACGACACACCAGGTCACCAGTGTCTTGACAGCAGAGGAATGATTGCATGCCCTGGTTCACTGGAACCATCTAAGTGAGAGCCTGGTCGGGGCCCAACCTGTAATCCCACTTATTTGGGAGGCCAAGGCAGGAGGGTGACGCCAAGGCAGGACGGCCTGATCACCTTCACTGAGACCCTGTCTCACAAAGTTAAGGCTGGGTATGATGGTGCACAGCTTTAACCCCAGCACTCGGGAGGCAGAGGCAGGCGGGTCTCTGTGAGTTTGAGGTCAGCCTGGTCTACAGAGAGAGTTTAGGCTAGGCAGGGCTACACCGAGAAACCCTTTCTGAAAAGAAAGAATTGGGGAAGAGAGAGACATAGCTCAGTGCTCTGTCCTTAGGTCCTATCCCTAAGGCCCTTGGTCCGGTCCAAGTCCAAAAGCCAACCCACTGTAGAAGGCACATCCTACCGTCTTAGTAGAGATGCTCTTCAGAAGAGTGCTCTATGAAAGTGTGCCCTAAAGAAACTCAGAACTTAGCACCGACTCCCTCTAAACAGTAAGAGGAATTCTCACGTTAATCTACCAGAAATAATCTGCTTTTATGGCATTTTAATTTGTAAAATTAAACATTAACATGTATTTTTTAGGAGCTATGAAGGAATTAGTGTTCCTAGATACTAAATTATTATCCAGTTGGGTCAATAATATTCAAGTCTAACTTTTCAAGTCTATAGAATTTAATATAAAATTTATATGAACAGGTTTATGTAAATGCTAGCTAGGAGTTTTATACTTTATAAACTTTACATATACAGGTTTATATAAACTTGGCTTTGGTATTGCATGAAGGGAGAGCACTTTGGGAGGGAATTGGTGGAGGCTTTTGAAGAATGGGTGCTGGGATGTTAGAGGAGAGCCAGGACCAAAGAGTGCTGGGTACTGGGTTTGAGATTAACCCCGAGGAAATGTGGAAAAACACTTATTGCCATCTCAGGAGCACTGGGTGATGAGCCACAAGGCTCGTGCTTTAGACCGTCACAGACAGTCATTTCAAGGTTGAAGTAAAAATGAAGACGTTTTTAAACTATTCATTATTTATTATTTTTACTTATGTGTATGTGCCCGGGTGAGCTGCTGTGCACCGGGTGTGTGCTGGTGCCTGTGGAGGCAGAGGGCCTCAGATCCCTTGGAACTGGAGTTACAGGCGGTTGTGAGCTGCCTGATGTGGGTGCTGGGAACCGAACCCGGGTCCTCTGCAAGAGCAGTAAGTGCTCTTAACCGCTGAGCCATCTCTCCAGCCCCTAAACCTAATTCTTAAAAAACTTTCTTTAGATACTGAGGACAGCATGAATGATCATGAAGATACAAATGGTTCAAAAGAAAGTTTCAGAGAACAAGATATTTATCTTCCAATTGCAAATGTGGCTAGGATAATGAAAAATGCCATACCTCAAACAGGAAAGGTAACGTAGAGGAGACTTTATCTGGCTTTTCTTTTCAGGGGGAGGGAGAGGGAATGGAAACTGTAAGACACGTGTCCATAGTTAAATCAGTAGTAGCTAGCTGTTGATTTTGGTCCCCGGCCTTTCAGCACAGCAGGTTTTGTTTCTGACTACTTGGCTACTGAGCAGTGGTCTGTCTCCAGTCCCCTCACCTCCCCATATGACATCCAGTGTCAGTGGCGTTAGGTGGCATTGGACTGAAAGGTATGATAAGATTTTCAAAATACCTTGGTATCTGCAAACAGCTGCTTCCCTCTTTATGCAAATGGAGCCCATCTGTACCTCAGCTGACACACAGTAGCTTGTCTTAGAGCAACTCCTGTACAAAACACTCCTCAGCCAGCTGTGGTGGCACTTGCTTTTAATTCCAGCATTTGGGGAGCTGAGGCAGAAGGATTGCCAAGAGTTCAGGGGCTGCATAGCAAGTTCCATACCAGCCTTGGCTACATAATGAGACCTTGTGTCATAAAACAGACAAACCGCATCACTCAGCTTATCACTTCGTCTGAGGTAAATTTCCTACTTTATATATTGCTTTATATATAACATGCATATACATTAACCTTTTCTGTTATTTTTATAAACCTTTTGAAAGTAAAACTTTCAAATAAATATAATGATATTGCATTACTCACGCTGTAAGTTCTGACCTGAGCTCTTCCTCCTTATGTTTAGAGCAGAGGAATTGTTCCAGACTTGCTTTTAAGTAGCTCCTGCCCGTCCTGTCTCGTACTAAAACCCCGGCCATCTGGGCCACCAAGCAGCTGAAATGTGGCTGATTCCAGAGGCCTGGTGTGAGGAGGACAGTGGAAATACCTTGTATTAAATTGATTACGTGTTTCTGCTGTGTGTGTGTGTACACATATGCTGTGTATATATGCTAGGTAAAGTAGTTAACGTGGCTGCCAGTGGAGAGAAATACAGAATTACACACTTCGCTTGCATCCATTGTTTTGTTCAGCGCATTGTACAGCTCTCATTTACTTTCTCCACCGTGTAAAACGGGTGTGGAGGTAAATGACAGTACACTGTGCATGTGTGCTTGTGTGTGCGACTGCATGTATGTGCACATACCACGGCACATGTGTAAAGGGTAGAGGACAGCTTAGGGTGTTCACTTCTTTCCTCCCATCATTTGGGCCCTGGGGACCAAACTCAGGTGCTCAGGTTTGGCAGCCGGCACCCTTAGCTGCTGAGTCATCCCACCAGCACCCAGTGACTGATGTTTCAGGAAGGTCCATCTCGTTTTCACTATTAGACCCCCGACCGTTACTTACCTGTTTATGTGTGTGTGCACATATGTATTGAGACGGGCCTTACTGTGTAGCTATGGCTGGCCTGGAACTTGTTGTGTAGCCCAGGCTGGCCTCTGCCTACTTCTACCTCTCAAGGATTAAAAGCATTCACTACCATGCCCAGCAGACCTCAGAATTTGAAGAGAAGACTTCTTCATAACGGTGTGGAGGGTATATGCTGTTGTAGGCAATACTCAGAACCCATACTTTTTCTGGTCTCAATAGTTTAAAAAAGAAAAAAAAATCAGTATTTTATTCCTAAGACTTTTGTGAATGTTTCTGTTTTTTTTTTTTCTGAACTTTTTTTTAGCATTTTATTTCTTTTGTGTGTATTAGTGTTTTGTCTGAAATGTATGTCTGTGCACCTTGCCCATACCTGGTGCCTGAGGTTGCCAGAAAAAGGAGTCAGATGCCCTGGAACTGGAGTTACAGATGGTTGTGAGCCACCATGTGGGTGCTACCGGGAAGTGAACCCACATCCTCTAGAAGAGCAGCCAGTGCTCTTAACCTCTGGGTCAACACTTCAGGTTTTTTGGGGCGGCAGGGGTGGCGTTTGTTTTGTATGTCCTATTCACAGACGTGCTCAGTGCAGCCGTACCTACCGGGTTGGCCTTCCTGCGTCCCTGGGGAGGGCGGGGGGTGTAAGCCACTCAGCGCGGCTTTCCACCCTCTGTCTGGCTGTTGTTACAGTTGCAGAAGTTCTTTCTCTTTTGTGTATGTGTTCCTTTTATTCATTCTGACTCTGAGTTGGCTATTACCAACAACAACGGTTAATATGTAAGGGGCTAAAGTTTAGGCCTCACCAGCTCCAGGAATGTGGCTCCAGAGGTGGAGTGCTTGCCTAGCAAGCAAGAAGCCCTGGGCTTTTCAAACTGGGCATGGTGGTGCACGCCTGTAGCCCAGCACTTGAGAGGTAGAGGCAGAAGATAGAGGTTCAGGTCATCCTTGGCTACGTAAAGAGCCCGGCCTTGATACATGAGACCCTGGGTAGCAGAGGTGTCCGTCAGTGCAGTGTGATATGCTCTGGGCAGCGTTTTGTTTTCACGGGCAGTGGTGGTGCACACCTTTAATCCCAGCACTTGAGAAGCAAGGGCAGGCGGATCTCTGTGAGTTCGAGGCCAGCCTGGTCTACAAAGCGAGTTCCAGGACAGCTAGGACTGTTACGCAGAGAAACCCTGTCTCAAACAATGGAAGAAAAAAAAAAAAGGTAACGCATTTCCTACAAATTTACCTGTGGCTTTTTTCCTCTTCAGATTGCAAAAGATGCCAAAGAATGTGTTCAGGAATGTGTGAGTGAGTTCATAAGCTTCATAACATCTGAGGCAAGCGAACGCTGTCATCAGGAGAAGCGGAAGACGATTAATGGGGAGGATATTCTCTTCGCCATGTCCACTCTAGGCTTCGACAGCTACGTGGAACCTCTGAAACTGTACCTTCAGAAGTTCAGAGAGGTAAGTGGTGTGGCCGCAGTGCCATGCCACCATCAGCTGAGTGTTAGACCATGTCACCTCAAATGCTTTGCAGCAAATCATGTGACATTTCCAGTAGTGTTAGATGTGTAAGATTATAGTATTTCAAATACCAATTCTTTACCTCTTTCCTGTTTTATTACAAGCTTGAGCAGGTGAATAGTGATTAAAAGGATTCTGGGTTTGTGCTGCCAGGGGGCAGAATATTGAAATGGTTTAGGCTTTGGTTCCTCATCTGTAAAGGGAGACTTACAGCACTTCCACTATAGAATTATTGAAAAGATTAAATGGTGGACAAAGCTGCTGCACTAAGTGAGGAGCCGTCGGTCAGTGTGGGACCTCTCAGATGACCAGAGGATGGTGTGACCTTCCCTTCCTGTGCATACACATTATACACGTCTGCTGTCATCACTTGGCACCTCAGGTTTTGAGACGGGCCTCCTTGACCAGGAGCCCACTAACGGGCTGGTCGGCTGGCCAGAAGCCCCGAGACCCTTCTGTCTGTCCCCCCAGCACCGGTTACGGCTCTGAAGTGGGTTGTGAGGACTCTGAACTAGGGTCCTCCTGCTTGCTGGGAAAAAGCATCTTCAGGGTTCAAAGTCCCTCCCTGAAATTGGTGGGTGTTTGCATGGAATGAGTAAAAGTGGGGAAACTAAGTCACAGTACTCTCCTAAATACTTCCCACAATACTTTGCTACTGAAGAGTACCACAGACCCAGAGAGCAGCTGGAATTTTGGAGGTCTCTGGTTCAAACAAATTTGTAGTTGGGAATTTTAAACACTAAGCTTGGAGCTTCCCAATATTTCCCACCTGGCCGTACACAGATGACGACACACAAACAGGCCGTAAAGAGTTAATAAAACACTCTGTCATGTCATCGTTTTCTAACTGAGGCTTCCTGTTTGGGACATCACGCTCTCGTTTAGAAACAGTTGGATGTGAGCACTTGTTTGGGCTTCTTCATTCCCTAGGCCATGAAAGGAGAGAAGGGCATTGGTGGAGCGGTCTCGGCTACAGATGGGCTAAGCGAGGAGCTCACAGAAGAGGCGTTTAGTAAGTACTTGGCAGGCTGTTGCTGGGGAGTGGGCCGCTGAGGCTTGAGGCTAAGCGACTTGTCGGGGACCTGCCCTAAATGACCGCTTCAAGTCCATGTCCTTGTTACGTTGGTGAGTGATGTGTGCAGATTTGAGCCGGGAAGACAGACACCTCGACCTTATAGTAATAATTGCAATCATTCTCCTCACTTCGCGTTTGAGTGAAGACTTCTGAGAGGAATATTGAGAATTATAGCTTATGACATAAAATTGTGTGATTTAAATGTTAACACAAGAAACTTCACCTACCAGACTCACGCTGCTCAGTCCTGTGTTGCTCCGGCCACGCCCAGTGGTGAGGCTAGGTCTGAGCATGACTCAGAAACTCTGTTGCTGAGTCCAGTGTAGACATGTGAGGCAGTGAATTGGAAGGCACGGTAGGGAAAAAAATGTGACTTTTATTCTTAGAGGACTTTTTAAACAGAGAATACAAAGTTTATGATTTTTCATAGGATTATATTCTGCATATCTGGGAGAACTGTAATGGGACATTAATAGCGTTAAACGAAGATTGAGGCCAAGAGAGTAAGATTATTTCCCCTTTAACTTGTCTTTTCTCCTTCCGTCAGCTAACCAGTTACCAGCTGGCTTAATAACCGCAGATGGTCAACAACAAAACGTTATGGTTTACACAACGTCCTATCAACAGGTATGGTACCGTCGGCACCTCACAACATCAAAAGCACATGACAGTCACTGTAATAAAATGGTTCTCTCCAAATATATATTACTGTCAGAGTTCCTTAATGATGAAAGCATTTCCCAGCTGCTCACGTCTGCATGGAAGGTGACGTAGCTCTGAGGCAGGCAGCAGCTAGCTGGTGTGGGAACAACCCCCTCGTGCTGCCTTTCTGGTGGCTGAACTAGACATGTTACTTGAAACGTTTTTGTTTTTGATTTTTCGAGACAGGGTTTCTCTGTGTAGTTCTGGTGCCTGTTCTGGATCTCGCTCTGTAGACCAGGCTGGCCTTGAACTCACAGAGATCCGCCTGCCTCTGCCTCCCGAGTGCTGGGATTAAAGGTGTGCGCCACCACCGTCCCTTGAAACTTTTCAAGATCTTACTTTCCATTTTCCAATCCTAGATTTCTGGTGTCCAGCAAATTCAGTTTTCGTGATCTGAAGAAGTGATGGAAGCGGGCTGTACAGATAGTCCGACCAAGTCTGGAACAGAGGCCGAGTCGGGAGGAAGTGGGAAGGCGCCTCTTTGTACAATACGTAGCTGTAATGTAGCTTCCTGATGCTTGACTAATTGAGGTGTTAATTCTGACTTGAGAATCTTTTTCATGAATGATTTTAAAGAAAAAATTGGATTTTAAAGGTATTAAAATATTTTTGTTTTGTACGAGAGTTTGTTGCTCTGTATGACGCCTGTATGCATTGTATATTGCAATTTATTACTGTCAGAGATTTGTAGACAGTTTCTTATTTTCATATTGAATCATGTTATTTTGTAATTCAAGTAAGCAGCTGGGTTAATTCATGATGTTTGCCCTTTTAATAAAGTATAAGGGTAGAGTTCATTTTGAATGAAAGTTGCCTTTATTATAAATTTGAGTTTGTCCTGGCTATATACTATCTTGCATGATAACCTAGCTAGATTTTTAGAATTTACTTTATTTATTGAAATTAATTTTTTTGGTAAAAGTCATAGCTTAAGCAGTGTCTTTTTAAATGTAATTGAATAATTAAGTTGGATGCAGAAGCAAGTATTGTCTGACCTATAAACTTGGTGCCCATCACTGTCCGCACCTCTTCAGGTAGCTCTAGTTACTATCATGTGTGTTAGAATTCATTCTCACTTGATGTAGTCCCAGCACCCCTGAAGTGGTCCCTTTCTTAAGTATTACAGTGTCCTCGTCAAGAGGGATGCTTTTAGTCCATTGGTAATGTCCTATTACCCTTTTCACGGAAAGGTCAGCTTTCCTGTTGAGCTGTGAGCACCAGAACAGGGGGTGTGATCGTGTGCAGACGTTTCACGTGGATGAGTGAACACACAGGAGAGCAGTGAGGGCTGCGGATCATGGGACACCATGGGACACGGGAGCCTTGTGGCGCTGTCATGCTGTCTGCAGTAAACTAACGTTAGATGATGTGGCTTTGTACAGCTTAGCAGTGTGTGCTTAGGTTCCTTTTTAAAGTAAAGATTTCTATTTTCTCATCTATTCTTTTTAGTAATAATTACTTTGAGTTTTTGTGTACGTAGAGGTGGTAGTTTTAGCTCTATCAAAAATAGCGTATTGTACACTGTGTCCAGAAGGAAATGTATGGGACTCCAATGGATGAAGGAGAAAATTTTCTAGATACAAACTGAATGATAAGAGCCACTTTGCCAGGAGTCTTGGGGAACATAGCTGGCTATTCAGAGATGAACTAACTCCTCCTCTCCTCTCCCCCTTTTCAATAATAACCTTCATTGTAGACAATGCACATAGGAAAGAAAGGCAGAGGATGGTGAAGCAAAATCGACAGCCACTCTACTGTGTTGAAATAACCAATGTTAATATTTTGATAAATTCATTTGTCCTTTTACTTTGCTAAATATGTATATTTTTATAAAATGGGCTCATGTTGTGCACACTGTTTTGTAACTGGCTTTTTCACTTAACAATATATTGTGAACATCTTCCCCAGGTTGTGCATGGTCTTCTGCATCATTTTTACTGGGTCTTTATTCTGTTGTATGATTGAATCATGATTAATTTATTTAATCACTATTGGAAATTTTAACTCTTTTCATCTCTCCATAGTTATAAATAGCACTTCACTGAATCTTGTGTATATCGTAACTTTTCTTGAAATAAATCCTTAGAAGTAGAACTGCTGGGTTACCAGATACACACAGCAGGAAGGTTTTGCTCCTTGTATGTGGGTTCACTTTTGGAATGTGTCCTACCCAGACACTATCATCACTTCACTGACACAGCGTGAGACTTGGGCATCAGACCATCTCGACAACTCATTAAAGGTTAAGAATAAAGATAAAAAATAAATTACTAACCATTTTTAAGTTTAAAGCATACATCAAAATAGGATTTTGAACCTGATTGTGAGGGATACCTTTTAGGGCAAAAGCAGGTCAACTCAGGGTCATATTGCCTGCATATTCATGCAGGAAAGGAAACAGGCATTCTGTGTGTGCCTGATACATGTCCTTCATGCTCAGTTAGTGTTAGCTTCATGTTCATCCTGGCTCACATCTGATACCATCCTTAAGTGTTTGTTAGCCTAAAATAGTTCTATGATTTTGTAAATACTCCTTTTCTGATTAGAAGTGACTTGAGGTTTCAGTGATTTAAGTTACAAGTGGCATAAGGGGCTTAAATTATCCTGATTTTGGTATTTGGTAATGTAGTGTATGTTGTACAAGTCCTAAATGGTCTTATAATAAAAACCCAGAGCCAATATTGGGGTGAATGCTGAAAGATCAGGGAGACAAAGGAACAGGCCACAGCCACGTCTCACCAACGCCAGCTCCACACCCAGCCATTTATCTCACTTCCTATCTCAACCTTCCTAGTTAATGGATCTCTGCCTCCTGAGTGCTAGGATTAAAGGTGTGTGCCACCACTGCCTGACCTCTGTGTTTAACTCTATGGCTGGCTCTGTCCTCTGATCTTCAGGCAAATTTTATTAGAGTACAACAAAATGTTACTACATTTCCCCATTTTTGTCTAAAATAATAAAAGGTTGTAACTAATATAAGAAAAATAATGCACAGTAAGTACAAGAGCTATATATAATATATAAAGCCAAGAATTACATCAACAATGTCCAATCCATTGACATTTCATGGATTCAGAGAAAATACTCCATTATTTATCCTATTTGGTGAGTCTAAAATGTACCTAATACACTTTCTATCCTAACTTGTATTACCAACCCTAAACTACATTTTGATGTATTTCAAACTTATAAACTTTACACCTCTTTAGTGTGTTTCTTTTCTGAATTTCTTAACAAGGAAAACTATTAACTAGTCTTCAACTTCATCAAAGACCTGAGAAAGAAAGAATACTACCTAAGTAAACAGGAAGAGCAGGCAAGTGACTTCTAAAAAATGTGAGAAATGACAGAAACAGCTGGCTGCCTGGACAGTCACCCAAGGTTCCTCTGCAACGTTGGGGCATCCATCTTCGGCCTACAGGTCTAGCATATCTGACAGACTTACCTGTGAAGCAGGATTTTCTGAAGGGCTACTTTGGCTTGGCAGGGTTTGGCGGTCCTCTTTTTGTGTGTCCTGCTCATCCTATTTGGACAGCATATACTGTCAGCAGTCGAGGCAAAAGCATTTTCTTGCACAGTGGCTAACTTGCCACAAAGAAAGTAAACTCCATATGGAGTTTCTTCGATGCCCATCATTGCTCTGAAAAATTGGTGCTGCCAGGAGCAGACATGTCTTATAGTCATAAAAAAAAGAATCTATGTTACTAAAACATCTAAAATGTCATATTCTGTAGATCTCTGAAGTGTTTGAAGATGACTTGTCTACCTAAAATATGTCTGTTGAACCTTGAAAACATACCTAATGACTACAAGTTTGATTTTAATAGTCAACTATTAACTTGCATTTCTTTATACCCTCATTGGTTGGTAATAATAACTTTCAAAGACTAGCAATTTGCATTACATTGTTAAACAAGCTGTATAGATACAATACCTTGAACAAGAGTAGAAATACATGTACACTGTGTTCCAACAAAATTATCTCAACTTTGTATCAATATATACAATTTGTATCCAAAATATCCAATCCAATGTAAAATATTTAAAACTAGTAGTTGCTTTTTAAAAGTAATAATCTCCCTTTTTATCATATCCATATTCTTTTCTTTTCAGAGTAGATTTAATTACCCTTTTATCCTATCCTATCTATCTCTTATGATATCCTATTATATCTGTATCTTTTTTCAGAGTAGATTCAATAATCTACCTTTTATCTTATCATACCTATATTTTTTTTAAACAAGAACTCCTTTGTTTAGCTTTTTTCCTATTACCAATAACAACTTGTAATAAACCACCAAAATAATGACAAATATATTATGATCAATCCATGTGAGTCTATTAAATGGGTGGCAGAATTTATTAAGATATAAATTGAGGAAATACACTCACAATTACAGAATGGAGTAGACCCTGATCTGACTGAGAGCAAATCCACCTTGCAGGTAGGAGCAGGGAGAAGGGGCATGTGACCCTTCTCCAACTCTTTATCAGAGGTCATGTACAACAGGATGCATTGCCAGACAGCCCAAGGTTACAGGCAGAGCAAATACCACTACACAAATATCCATAACTTGCTGAATGACTAAAAACCACCTACCCGTTGGGGTTGCGGATTTAGCTCAGTGGTAGAGCGCTTGCCCAAGCCCAAGGCCCTGGATTTGGTCCTCAGCTCTCAAAACAAAAACTACCCACCCCACCTCTTGTGAATGTGGATGTCATTGTAAGAAATCAGTGAAGGTTTCTTCTGGGCCCTGTATAACTTTAGTATTCAATTTTTTTTCCTACTTCTTCAATTCTGTCCCAATCATTCAAGGCTACTGTGCAGCATAGAGTAGGGTCATCATATAAAGATTGTCTTTGTATATCAGCATAATTGCCCTCTCCAAGAAGTTGGTCTTAGGAGATTTCCATACCTTTAGCCCTATTTTTTTTGTTGTTCAATGGTCTTAGTCTCATCCTTCCACTAGAGCCTCCATTATAATTGGGGACCAACCTCTTAGACTGCTGTAACCAAATCTCTCCAGTCTTGAGGAATAATTCTATTGCAAGTTGACCATGAGTTTAACATCTTTTTCACAAAAGGTGAGTGCATATCATATGAGACTATCGATTCTTTGAATTTCCTTAAATCTAACATTTGCATAGGAGTCCCGTCAGCTCTTACACAGCCTTGGGGATATCTATCATTTGGCAGTTCCTGTAAGGATACTGGATAAATTAAGGTTGACTGTTTGAAAGCCTTGGGTTGTTCCTCTGTAACCTTATAATGAAATGCTGAAATTGTTTCTCCCTTAAATTCCTCTGTCTGGGTGTGAATATCTCTATGATCTGTATTAATAAGCTTTTCTAAGACTTCTGTCTTGGCACTCATATCAACCAACTTAGCACTCATATAAACCAACTTTTTTAGGGATAAAATAAGAATGATCAAACCGATAATGTTTATAATTGACATTACGTCAATCCCATCTAAGTTAATTATCCTCTCATTTAATTGTTCCATTTTTCAGGCTGTCGAGTGTGTTATCAAACAGAGACCAAACTCCTTCCATTATAATATTGTTTCCTTTAAAAAAAAAAAAAACATGGGGAGGGTAGGGGGTGTGTGACTGCGGGAGACGAGTCTCTGTGCTGCTGCTGGCATGAGACTGAGACTAGGAAGCCCAGTGTGGCTCCATTCTGTGCGCTCAGAATCTTTAAGCTTTCTTAGGTCTATGTGGATCAATGCTCCACGCTGGGCACCAAATGTAGAGGGAAGTTCCTCAGTCCCACCCAAGCTCTCGGCCCCTTATAATCACTCAGAGGCTTATGTTAATTACAAACTGTATGACCTATGGTTTCAGCTTCTGGCTAGCTCTTTCATCTTAAATTAACCCATCCCTGTTAATCTATACGCTGCCACGTGGCCATGGCATTACCAGTCTGCTGGCTGGCATCTTGTTGCTCCTTCAGTGGCAGGTTGGCATCTCTCTGGACTCTGCCCTTCTTTATCTCTGCTTGGATTTCCCACCTGGCTGTAAGCTTTCTTGCATAGGCCAAAACAGCTTTATTTATGATCCAGTGGGAGCCACACATACAGCATACAGAAAGACGTCCCACAGCAGGTACAGAAGCTTATTTATCTCTCTCCTCCCATGTAATACGTATACATTATTCTCCTTTCTTGAAAACATGCCTTACTGCCTTGGTGAGCTAGAGAAATTCAATTACCTTTAATATTCTAATTATAAATACTCATGAGGTTCTATCTCAAATTTCTATAGTTAAGCAGTGAGACAGACAAAAGAAACCAAAGGCTGGCAGGACATTTGCTGCCAAGACTGACCCGAGTTCAATCCCTGGGACCCACACAGGGAAGAAGAAACTCCCACAGGATGTCTTCTGACCTTAGAACACGGGCTGTGGCACTATGTGCTCTTTTCGCTCTCTGTCTCTGTCTTTCCGGTGCACGCGCACACACGATGTGTAATTTTTGAAAATGCACAATTCTATCTTTTGCAAGATGTAAGTATATATAGTTCTCTTGTAAGTTGTGAGGAGTTTTATCAGCAAGGGACTATTACTTTATATAAAATATACCTTCAGTCACTCCCGTGAAGTTAGGCAAAACCTTAGTTCTTTCAGAGTTTCTGGATGGTGTGGTGGCATCAAGATCAACAGAGTTCAAGGCTAGCCCCAACCTCCAAGTCGTCCCAGTTTAGGGTCTGTGAGAGTCTAATTAGAGTCACAACTGCAGATGACACTGGAATGTGTTATTTCTCTGGCTTCTGGCCACTGCCTGTGAAGACAAAGACTTGCCTAAAGTATGGCTCTGGCTTCTGACTTGTTCAGATGGCTCCCTTCAGCACTGCACACTGGATGAACTGTTCATAGAAACTCAGGGCACGTCATGCATTAGCATTGACTCCTTGATCTACAATGGATGGCACGATCTCTTTGCCCCTTTTATGTGTTTATATAATTCATGGCAGTAGCAAGTTTTTGTCTTGGTTTTTTGCCTTACTTTCTGTACTTAGTCTATGAATGAAAGGTAGTTCTGAATCTTGAATACTGAACAGTCAGTTGAAACAAGTAAATTGGGGCCAGTAAGATGACTGACTCAGCAGGTACAGGTGCTTGCCCCCAAGGCTGGAGACTGAGTTAAATCCATGACCCAAGGGATGAGGGAAGAGGGCAGATTTCTGGAGGGTTGCCTTGACTCCACTCACATGCAGACAGTCACACACGCACATGCACATACAAATAAATGTAACAAAACGAGTTTCTAGGCAAGGACAAGGCCGAAGCAGTACCTACATGTCAAGGAAGCTCATTCACATATGAGAAACCAAGTGGCACACTGCCAAAGGGCCCAACACTTGTGAAGCTGAAGCAAAGGACAGCTTGGCAACAGTAAGATGCTTGCTCAGAACAAAAACATGAGGGGCTGGAGAGAGGACTCCGTGATTAGGAATACTTCATATTCTTGCAGACGGCTCAAATGTGGCTCCCGGCATGCTCACAACTACCTGTAATTCCAGATCCAGGGGATCTGACAACTGCGTTCCCCACCAGCACCCGCACTCAAACACATCCCCTCTCCCCAATTTAAAACACAAAAACACTTTGGAAAACAAAGCAATCAACAAAGGATAGCATGCAAGGGGGTATCTGGGCCATTTATGGAATGCCAGTCCTGCTTCCTCCTCTGCAAAAGTAACTTGGAAAATGTTTCCTTGGGGCTGGGGAGATGGTTCGTTCAGTGGTTCCATGCTTGCCCCTCATGCATGAGGCGGAGTTCAGTTCACAGGAGTCCTGTAAACTGGAAAGGCAGTACATGCCTGCAATTCCAGTACGGGGGAGGTGAGGACAGGACCCCTGGCCAGTGAGAGATCCTTTTGTTGCATTTTCTCACCTACTCTAAGTAGGATTCCCCCAAACTGCAAGTGCTAGCTTACAGATCAGTGTTTCCCAGACTTCCATAAAGACTACAAATGCCCTATAGTGCTGGGTATCAATCATGTTACAGGCCTGTAATCCCTCCCTGCACTTGGCAGGTAGAGGTAGAAAGATCAAGAATCCAAGGTCACCTTTGGCTGTATACCAAGTTGGGGCCAGCTCAGACTACATGAGAGAGAACTGTCTCAAAAAGCCAAACAAACCTACAAGTATGTGTTTTTCTACTTGTATCAACAGTAAGTTACAGCTTCAGACTTCATTTGGGAAGCAGCCTAGACAATAAAGCTTCTCTTTAAGAACTCCAAACACCGAATAACAAAGGAAGGTAAAATAATATAAGGTGATACAAAAGTCTTTTAGAGTTGATGGAGTGCCTCCTCAATGGGTTAAGGCACTTGCTACTAAAGCAGTGTACCTGAGTTCGATCCCTGGGACCCACCAGATGAAAGTTGAGAACTCCATGTACAAGCTGTCTTGACCTCCACACTAGAACTATGGCATTCATGCAATAATACATGTGCATAAGCTGTATTGTTAAAAAATTCCTTTAAAAATGTATCTGACATAAAGGCAGGTTTTCAGAAATGAAGTGGAAATGGAAAAACTTTGGTAAGTCAACACTGAAGTTTGTGTCTCTATCCCCAGAGGTGTTAAGCCCTGCAGACTTGGAAACAGTAGCCAGGCTGGACATAAGGCAGACAGGCTGAAGTCTGAAGACAACCACTGTAGGAATGTGAGCAGGCTAAAAACACCCCTTAATTTTGGTGCTGGATGGAGAGGCATAAATTGCCACTCTCAAAACATTCATAATAGGCCATTCCTCAGTTTATTATTCAAAATGATAAACCGTCAAGCTAATAATTTGAAGGAGTCTCAGGCTAACAGCCTTTGGATGTTTGGAAAAGCAAATAGATTCTCTTAGGGATTTTCAACTCCAGTCTGACTCAAATCATCCTTAGATACCAGATACTCAAGACAAATGGCACAATGAATAAAAGACAAAATCCTTTAGATAAACAAGATCATCACAAAGAATATGAACAGGGAAAAATGATGTTTAAAGAAACAAACATATAAAAGGTACAAAAGATTGCAGAAAAGATTTGTAAACCAACTAGAACTTGTAAGAAAAAATAAAATTTTTGAAAATTAAAAAAAACAACCCTCTAGGAGACAAGGCCATTGTTCACTCCACTTCGTCTCCAGAGTTCTGACACATGGACCAATGCCTGGTGTCCCAGAAAGGCCGCACCGAGGCATGACTAGGGTGATCTCGTGCCCACGGAAGCAATGGGCTGGCTGCTCTTGTCTCTAGCCACAGACTCCTCTTGAGAACCCTGTATCTTCATTCTAAGACAGGCAACCACTACTCTGGTAGTGGGACAGTCTGGTGACCCAGGGCTGACTTGTAAGGTGCCACCCATTCTAAGACAGGCAACCACTACTCTGGTAGTGGGACAGTCTGGTGACCCAGGGCTGACTTGTGAGGTGCCACTCCTGAGTTCTGGGAGTTGATCTGGGCCATGCCTGAGGGCTTCCTGCAGCATGGTAGGTCCACTTAGAGGAAGTACTAGGTATGGAGGCATGACTTGGAGGTCCCTTGGTGAGTTATGTGTCCTGGAGTCCAACTTTTGCCTGCTGCAGACCTCACTCAAGGCCTTGGGCGGGACATGCCCTAGTCCATATGGAGAAAGACATGACCTCCACATGCCTAAGACTAGAATTAAACTAAAAAGACAATTTATGTTTAAGACTTAGAAATAAATCAGCCTATAATCACAACATAAACAGGCTAAATCATTCAATTTTTAAAACTTTCTTGGTCTCCAGGTGGTAAAAGGCAGCACTTAAGGAGGCAGAGGCAGGTGGATTTCTTTGAGTTCCAGCTAGCCAGGGTTACACTGTATCAAAAAGAAAATGCAAGGGCACAACTGTGGGGCCCATAATGACACCAGGATCGGAGAATTCTAAACTCAGATGGCGGTTAATCTCTGAAAAAACTGAGGGCTGGTTCCAGACGTTCCTATCATGAACTGTTATGGTGAGGACAGTGTGCCACAGCACAAGGGCAGACAGACCAGTGGACCAGTAACACCAAATCCAGGCACAGACCAAAATGTATGTGCTCAACTGGCTTTGAAAACACACTTAAAAAAAACAGGGAGAAGAGACTATTTCCCCCTTTAGTTTTTATAAATTCTTTGAGAATCATGTACAACGTATTTTCAGTTTTGGTTTTAGGGTTTGTTTGGTTTGGTTTTTTTGTTTGTTTGTTATTGTTTTTCTCTTCGGAGACAGGGTCTCCCTATGTGGCCCTGGATGTCATGGAATTCACTATGTAGACCATGCTGGCCCCAAACTCAGAGACCTGCCTGCCTCTTGTATCCTAGTGCTGGGATTAAAACATGCCCAGCTTCCATTTTTATCATTTCACTAGCCTTTCCCAAATTTACCTCCTCTTCATACCCACCCAACTTTGTTGCCTTTAAAAAAACAAACAAGGGGCTGGAGAGATGGCTCAGAGGTTAAGAGTATTGACTGCTCTTCCAAAGGTCCTGAGTTCAATTCTCAGTAACCACATGGTGGCTCACAGCCATCTGTAATGAGATCTCATGCCCTCTTCTGGCCTGCAGTCATACATGCTACATATATAATTTAAAAAAACAAAACAAAACAAGGCTGGAGAGATGGCTCAGGGGTTAAGAGCACTAGCTATTCTTCCAGAGGTCCTGAGTTCAATTCCCAGCACCCACATGGGGGCTCACAACCATCTGTAATGAGATATGGCTCCCTCTTCTGGCCTGCAGGGATACACACAAACAACACTGTATACATAATAAATAAATAAATCTTTAAAAAAACAAAAAATAAAAAAACACACTAAGTATGGTTTGTGCTGGCCATATACTCTTGGATGTAAAGCCTTCCACTGAAGTGTGGTTGACCCTGTTTTAAAAAAGAAAAATGGCAAATGAGTCATCAACGTATTAAAACACACATACTAAGAATGAAAGGTTAGTTTAGTGTTTTAGAAAGAACAGTCATGGATGTACACATGCAGAGAGCAGTGAATCTCAACTATTCACAGCCAAGTACCAGCATCTACAGTGGAGAGGACTTCCTCAACCAGGACAGGTGAGTGAGAGCACACTTCCGACAGTGAAGCATTCAAACGCCTTAACCCAGCACTGGAGGTGGAGACAGCTCAGTGAGAGTTCAGTTCCTGCCCAAGGCAGAGGCAGAGGACAACAGGGGAAGACTCCTGTAGTTCACTCTGGCTGCCTCACGGGCATGAATACATACCTGATGGTCACGTGCACACGTCACCCAACCATAAATAGATGATTTTCTTTGAGATGGCACACGCTCACCATCTGTACTTTTCAACATGTGCTGTGGGTCTGTAGGAAGGGACCAAACTGAAGCCATTTTGGATAGAATTTCTACTTTGAATAAGGGCCAAATGAAGTTTAAGTTCCCCAGACCTCCCTGGGTAACCGACATTACTGACATCCCGGCTGGCAAGCTGAGACATGAGTGGTGGACAACCCGCCCACCACACTTGAGTGAGCCAACCAATGGGAACAAGGCAGTACCAAAGAGCAATGTCCCTAGGAAAAGTTCCTACTCTGAATCCCAACTGGTGGAAAATACAACCGTAATTTGGCACAGAGGGTTTTTTTTTCTCTGCTTAAATACTTGCTGAAATGAATGTTCAGGGAGGCAGTCAGCTCCCAAGTCTATACTCCCAAGTCCCTGCCCAGTTCACTAAAGACCCTGCTTTGTGTGGACTCTGGTGCCTGCTGGGTTGTTCTGAACTCTCAGACCCCACATCATTCCACCTATCACTGTAGTAAAATAGGATAGGAAACAAAACATCCATAATGGGCAGATGAAAATTAAAAAGTGCCCGGTGAATTTGAGGCCAGCCTGGACTACAGAGCAAGTTCCAGGGCAGCCGGGGATACACAGAGAAAATCAAACAAACAAAACAAAACACACACATATAAAGTTCCTACAGAGAAATCTAACATAAGACATGAGGCTTTCATAGGGAAAACTGTGTTTATTGGAAGACATTAAAGAAAGACATTTGAAGACATGCAAGTCAGGGAGTGGTAGTGGCGTACGCCTTTAATCCCAGCACTCAGGAGGCAGAAGCAGGAGGATCTCTGTGAGTTCAAGGCCAACCTGGTCTACAGAGTGAGTTCCAGGATAGCCAGAGCTATTACACAGAGAAACTCTGTCTAGAAACAAACAATAAGAAAACATAATCAATGGAGAGACATATAAATGCTTCTGACTGGGAAAACACATGGAAAAGATCAAGTTTTCTCCAAGTTGATTAGCACATTCAACACAACTACAGAATACAATGCACAAATCTGATAGGAAATGTGTGTGTACCATATGCAAAGGGCACACAGAGACCATATGCATCAATGAAAGACAACTTATCAAACATGGGCAAAAGACACTAACCACCTCTTCACAGAAGAGGACCATACATGGAAAAACTATTCCACAGTCATCAGGGGAATGAGACGCTGTATATTAGACCTCCAACTGGCAGATACTAGACAGCCAAGAACAGGTGTTGCCAAGGTGTGGTCCAGGAACTCCAGCTGCGCTGCCAGTGAGAGCACTTCAGAGCCCAGCTCAGCATTACAGTGGACTCCTCCTACAAGCTGCGATATTCAACCTATCGTTTCCGAATCTCTTTCATTCTTAAAATTGAGGCATTCAGAGCTACAGCACATGCAGGGTGCGCCTATTAGTACTTACCACATAAGAAACCAAAGTGGAGACTTTTAAAGACATAAAACATGCACGTGTATGCTCGATTAGATATCAGCTGTAATACTACACAGCAGGACAATATGTAAGCTTGGGGAAAGCAGGAAAAGGACGAATGTCTCGGGGTGGTCATGAAAACAGTTGTCCTCAAAGACCTTCTTTAAGGAATGGTTCGTCAACTGCAGTGCAGGGCTCCAAAACCAACTGTCCTACAGCAACTCTCGCACACACAAGGAGAGGGTGCAGGAAGCTACACATCCTCAACACCCACTGTCTGTCCTCTGTCACTGTTCTCAGCACTGACTACAGGCAAGGAACACAGTTTGCAACAGAATCGGGCAGAATGGCCACAGCAGCACTGTCTTCAAGAGCAAAAACTGAAATAATAACCCAGATCCTGGTGAACAGAAGACCAGATAAAATTGTAGAATAGTAATACAATGGAATATTATATAGCAGGAAGACATGAAATACAATCACATGCATAAACATGTATGCAAATTCAGAAAATACCACAAAATGTCACAGGAGAATACATACATCATGATTACTTTTACAAACAAGTTCAAAACAAGGTACATCTAAACATTTTATTAAGAACATACACATGTATGATAGAGCTACAAATAAAAACCATGGAAATAATTACTAAAAACAAATCCAGAGCACTTACACTGTATGGTGTGATTGAAGGGAGGAGAGATGGGACAGAAGGAGTTTGTAAGCAGTTAGGAAGTTCCGCTTCTTAAGCAAAGCTTGGTAAAAGTCCTATCATTTTACCTTTTTACCCATTCAGACAGGTTATGGCTGGCACACACTGTTTCACAGCAAATATTTTTAAACAAGATGTGAGGTTACACAATACTTCAAACAAGATGACATCGCCACGTCAGTCGCTGTTGTCCAAATGAGAGGCAGCCAACGGTAACGGGCAAGTCCATGGCATACAAACAACCCAGTGTGCACGACTGCTCACTCCAGCTGGTCAAGAACCAATGAGCTCGCAGTACCACGGCCCTGCCCTTCCATATCAGCTCACAGCCACCGCCGCTGCCACCTCTCTGTGTGAGTACTTTGCTCACTGTAGATACTTATTGCTATAAAGCAAGTTCAAGGCCAGCCCGAACTGCATAAAGTCTGAGCTAGCCTGGGGTTCTGATGAGGAACTAATTGGCAATGTAAAGCATACAACACTTCCTTACTGAATGCTGTTGCCTAGGCACATTCTCCTAACTGTGCAATTGTGTGCTAAGTATTTCCAAAACCTGGGCAACATACAACAACATTCTCCACTGCCTCTCTATCTTCATCAAGGACAGTTTCCTTCTGGGTATGCAAAAATGTCAACCGTTTCTAGACACTGCCAACATCACCCTGTCTGTGCCTGGGATTTTATGGACTTGCAGCAGTTAAGAGACAGTTTCTCCTTGTCCAGGGAATTCACTGAAAAATCTGGTCTTCAATTCAGAAATTCTGAAAAGCAAAAGTGCTCTTGAAATATTTAACCCATTGGCCGCTGAAGTTTTTATCTTCTTAGTTATGGAGTGGGAAAGGGCAGACTAGTTGAGGCAGCAAATGAGCCAAGGACTCCGCTCTCCTGCTCACACCGTCAACTCACAGCAAGTTACAGGAGCTGCTGTGCCTCTCCGTCAACAGCACACATGCACACACAGCCAGCTGTGCGGCCCAGAATCCACGTGTGACTGGAACTGTCGGACAAGGAGGGCAACTGCAGTCCGTGCACCAGACACTGGGAGCTTCCAGACTCCGCCCAGCACCCGTTCGGCTTTATTTTACTAGACGGACCTGTTGGATCAGGAGACCACCCAAGCAGACACTTTCTTTTTCTTTCTTTCTTCTCAATCTTAGTTCTGCAGCGGACAGAAGCAGCACACGGATAGGAAGACGGAGAGCCATCTGGAAGCAGGAGGCCAACCATCCTGAGATTTTGCAGCTTTCACTCAGCTTAAAGAATCTGTTTTTGTTTCTCCCAGAATGTTATGGTTAGTCTTTCCATACACGATCAGAATAATACATTGTAGTTACAGGGACTTATAACTAACTAGACCTGAAGGGAGGAAGGCCAAGGGCATCTTGTGTCTGTCCCTGTGAGTAAGAATCTAAAATGAAGTGCGGTGACTCAGGCTGCAATCCTGCCCTTGTGAGGTGAGGCAGAGGACTGCCAGGAGTTCAAAGTCAGCCTAGGTTACAGAATGAAACTAAACAGGCTCTTGCCCAAGAAGCGTACAGTGGCCTGCCCCGGGGAGCGGCAGGAGTTCAGTTCTAAATTGTCTAGCTGTCAGTTCCAGCAGTTTCCTAGGCTCAAACGGATACACTGCTTTCTAGTGTCAGAGAGACTATTTCTGCTCCACATGCTGGCGCACACCTTTAATCCCAGCACTCAGGAAGCAGAGGCAGGCAGATCTCTGTGAGTTCAAGGCCATCCTGGTCTTCATGGTGAGTTCTAGGACAGCCAGGGCTACACAGTGAGACCCTGTCTCAAAACAAACACACGCACACATGCACACGCACGACAACTACAAAGACCAGAGACTAACTTCTGACAGATTTTAGGTCATTTTGATCTCCTAGTGTCTCTGTGCCCACCCATCTCCTTAAACTCTAACACAACTTCAGATCAGGCCCTCCCTCCTCTTTGCGACCCAGCACCTCCCTCCTACACCTCATCTCACAATTTTCTGAGTTAGGAACTGAGGGCAGGGTGGGCGAGGCAAGACAAAGCGCCAGCATCTATCTCCCCAGCATGATACACACACTAAAACCACTCTCCTTAACAACCACCCCGCTGACTGTGATCTGAGGTCGGGAATGGAAGAAGAAAAGGGTGGCCATTTTTTCACTCACCTGTTCAGATATTCAGGTGCCATGAAGGGCCCAGGAGGGAAGAGCACGAGACCATCTCTGTGCAAACACCCAGTCAGAGACCAGAAAGGGACAGTGCTACGAAGTAAGGGGACAGCATCCGTGAGACCGTGAGGAGAGGAGCCTTGATGCAGCAGCTAGAACTCGCTGAAGGTGGAGGAGGTCGGTGAAGGTGTGCCCAGGCTGGTCAAGTCCATACAAAGTGTGGGAAAAAAGACAGATGTGCCACCACAGACATGGGCAACTGTACAAATTCCAAGGGGTGCTCACGCAACAAGATGAGTGTGAGGAGAGCGCCTCCTAGATCTGGGAAATGCAACATTGTACCTGGTTTTGTTAGAGCCATGGGGACAGAGTAGCAGGGCAGAACATGGCTGCTGTGAACCAAAGTGGGAGACAGACAGAGACAGAGACAGACAGACAAACAGACAGAGACAGAGACAGACAGAGACACAGAGAGAGACAGACAGACACAGAGAGAGACAGAGACAGAGAGGGAGGGAAGAAGGGAGAGAGGAAAGAGACAGACAGACAGAGGAGAGAAAGAGAGAGGGGGATGGAAGAAGGGAGAGAGACAGGGAGAAAGAGACAGAGAGGGAAGAGAGGAGGGAGGGGGAGAGGAGGGAGGGGAAGAGGAGGGAGGGGGAGAGAGAGAAAGGAGAGAGAGAGGGAGGGAGAGAGGAGGGAGAGGGGAGAAACAAAGGAGAGAGACACAGAGAGAAAGCAAGCTCCAAAAAGTCAACTCGACTCCAGAAGGAGAAAACAAGTCTAGACTGTTTCTCGGAGCCATCTGTCTGTTTTCCTTGCACACAGATCAGCACAACTGTAACACAGTGTCAAATCTTGGAGAAAATGACTCCTGACCACAACCTAACTTCAGTTTCTAGACAGTCAGTCCATCTTAAGTCAGCAACAGACACAGCAGCCTCCCACAGATGGCTCTGCCACCGCTACTCTCTGATGGAATCACTCAAAGTCAATAATGACACCTGTCATTGTTTATAGCAAAAAGGGGCTTTTATTTTAGATATCATTGGTACACAATACATAGAACTGCCTACAATCAGTCTTAGGAAACAACAGTTACACTTCAAATGGCCAAAGGCCAAGCCCATTTGCAGTTTCTCTATTAGGAGCAGATGCCTACAGGAGCTCTAAATACTAATCACTCCAGACAGAATGTAACAAATGGTCTTTATGTTGTAAGCACTACCATTTTAAAATAAAAGCCCTTTAGTTACAGCAGACACTCTCTAAGCAGAACTGATTTTTGCTAGTCTACAAGTCTGAAAGAATCGATCAACAATATCACTTCTCTATACATGATTATACATGTACTGGGTTATGGGGCAAAGATGCCTCATACATGCAATCTGATTATTTTAATCTTTAAATACAGATTGAGTTTATATGTAACTTATTTCTAGTTAAATTGCCAAAATAATCGCTAAACTAAAATAAAGCCAATACAGTATCTTAAAAAACATAATTCTAAGAGCATGCAATATCAATAATATTTTACTTCTTATGTAAACAAAGTTCAGAACACAGGACAGAGGCTCATGACACAAAGATCATTACACAACTGGAGAGGAAAGAAAGAAATTCAACCTAATGTAAATCCTCGTAGTAAGAGATATCTGCCTAGGGGTGGTGAGCTTGGTGTTAGAGCCCTGGCCTAGTTGCCCAGGCCCTGAGTTCAATCTCCAGCATACACACACACAAAACAAGGATGTGGAAGACAGCGGAAAAAGAAAACAATGTCTGCATGACATGGATCACAGCTTCACGGTGTGCAGGCCATGTTGGCAGGACGAGTCCTTCTACTGGAGCAGTTCTAACACCGCCTGAACTGCTAACACCAAAGCCACACTCACCTGCTAAAGGATCTCTCAGCCACCAGTTCCATAACAGAAACAGAAAAATGACTTATGCTTACGGAAGTAGGCCAATGAAGAAAAAATACAATTTGGGCAATTTGCAAGGTAAAAAGATTTATTATTTTAACAAATCACTTGATAAAGAAAGGCTACCCTTTTGTCAAAGAAGCAAATCATATGTTAGAACCATGGGCTCATATCTGTCTCCTGGTCTAGAATAGAAGATGCCTTTAAGCAAAATAAACTAAATCACATACTAAATAGACAAAAAAAAAAGTACACACACAAAACCAACATTCTAGTCTGCTATACATCAACTTATTCCTAAACAGTAAGATAAATGTTTCAAGATGTAAACTGTTAACTGATGCAGAGAATAGAGATTGAAAGCCAGAAGTTTTCTAAGAAAGTAACTGGGCTTGAAACATACACTTCCTGTAACTGGCTATTCTAAGCTGAGCACACACATACAACAAAGCCTACCACTCAGTATGTGCAAATCTGCATACCACGTAACTTTGGTTAAGACATGTTTAGCTCTATCAGCACATCACGGAAGCTACACAAATGATTACAGACATAATAATGAGGTAAGTTCAAAGTCTCCTAGTGCAAAAAGCAAGCACTGCCCAAAGCAAAGCACATAAACTAAATGAAGGCAGAGTGAAGCTCTCCCCACGGGAGCTGCTGGAATAACCAACCAGAGGTGCTCCTTGTAAACACTGCTTGGAAAGTACCCATTTAATGATTAAGGATTCATGTACCCAAAAAGGTATTCTAATAACACCAGAGTAGTGCATTTATTTTTTATCTTTAGAGTTCAGAAACCACTCATGTGTCTAATAGTTTGCATATTTTCTTCAAGAGAAATTTAATTAGTGAGATGCATTAATTACAAATACTGTAGTATAAAAATCCCAGTCTTTACAAAAATTATATATTAAAATATTCTATACACTTTAAGTTAGTAACTGGCATATATATCAATTCTTCACAATTAGATTCATCTTCACTGGGCATATCATACGTAAAGTTGGAGGGTGCTGCTACTCATCACCTTAAACTGGCATTGAGATTGTGTGGCAGAAGCAGCTAGGCCTGAGTCACAGCAGCTCTCAGCCTGAAATGTCTTTTCTGCAGCTACTGCCTGTACATACTCATTTCCAAACTGACTAGGCGGTCAAACTAAGAGACTTCAGAAGGTGTAAAGTAAGTTACCTGCAGCCAAATGGTCACGGAATTATCTGCATCTCTAAGGTGGTAAGGAGCCTGAACTGGCTGTCTAATGCTTTTTATTTCTGGTATACAAAAGCTTATACAATTTTGAGGTAAAAATAATGCAAAAATAAAACATCTAGAGCATTTACAAAAATCTTACAAATGTTTAAAACACTATTTAAAAACCTGTGTCCTGTTAAGGTGCTTACTTCTTTCTTCAGGAGGAGGACACACGCTTTGATTTTTGATGAAGTCAAGGAAAAGCACATTTAGAGTGAGGAAGACTGCTACAAAGGACAGCGTTCAGGGACACACCCGCCCGACTTCTAAGGAAAATACAAAACACGAGAGCTGAAAGGGACCTTCATGAAAACTCCCCTAACTCTCTCACCTGCTAGTGAAGAAGTTAAGGGCCAGATAGATTAAGTGCTTTAGCTAAAGATATATTCAGATATATTGGTCATGTAACAATCAAGACTATCCACTATCCTTTTTCTATTTTGCTAGGATTCTCGGGAGAAAACAAAACAAAACAAAAAAAAAAAAAAAAAAAAAAAACAGGACAGAGGTCCTGTACTTGTCTTTTTTTTTTTTAACTTCTTAGGCTTGTGATAACTATAAATAAAGGAGTAAGTTTAGGTATCATAAATCCTATGCATTGGAAAGAGTTGTTAGAAGAGCACTGCTCATGGGATCAAGGCAGGAGGATACTCAGGCAGGGCATTTACAACATGGAACACTTTCACCACAGCAAGGTGTACAACAGCCAGTTACTGGACTCATCTCAGTAGCTGCAGATGACTGAGTTACGAGGCCTTTACAAAAGAGAAGGGGCAATACACCTGACAGCTTTGTCTTTGTTTTGCTATTTTTTTCTTTATAAGTGGTTATATGGGTAAGGAAGAATCCATATACTAATTTTCAGTCTTTGCTTCTTTCTATTTTTTATTTGGATCTAGAAATGAGCAAATACATTTTAAGAACAACTTACAAACTCAAATTCATAAATGCTAGAAATACAGTCAGAGAATACTCTCCGAGAACAGGTCTTCATGACCAGTTACTAATAAATAACCATCACAACAGCTTGAATAAAAATAACTCAACTCAAAGGTGCTTTCTTATTGTTACCTTGAAGCCATCGAACTTGGGTGGCTGGTCCATAGCCCTTTTCGTTCTTTGCTGATATCCTGAATACAATGGCAGGTCTGGATGTGTAATCAATATGCGCATTTGCAAGCTGCCCAGAAGTCACAATGCATGAGGTTTTAAGACCACAGTAGATCCTCATGAACACAAGCTGGCTTGGATTATCCTGCACCTGTGCTGTGCGGATAGCCAAGTAGGCTGAGTATTCCAAAATATTCCCAGAAGGTGAAGTCGGAGGCTCCCAGGAAAGGTGGATCCCTTCGACATTCTAGAGAAGAGGAAGAAAAAGGTGATTCTCTATCATCACTTACCATGTCTTTAGAAGGCAGACCCTTTCCTCCTATCACTGCACTAGACATCAGAACTCTCACTGCTGATTAGGATAGCTTAATTAGCTCTACAGTTTACACACACTTTTCACAAAGTGAGGCTTAACTATCCACAATCTGCCCTTTGTATCCACCAGAGAGGATTTTCTTCCTCAGCAAAGAGCAAGAGTTATAAAATACAACCCAACTTCGTATGTCCTGGAATTTAAAACTCTCCAAAATGGGGCTGGGGATTTAGCTCAGTGGTAGAGCGCTTGCCTAAGGCAAGTAAGTGCAAGGCCCTGGGTTCGGTCCTCAGCTCTGGAGGGGCGGGGGGACGACGACAAAACTCTTCAAAATGAACTCTGGATGATGAAACAGGACAATTACAAACTGGTTTCCAGTCCTGTGGTTTTATGTTGTAATTGTACTTGTAATTTGGTACTAAAAATACCATGCATGGCTACCAGCACACACTTTTAAACATTTAATCCACCTCCCTCAGGTATCTTTCACAAGTGCCAGTAAGAATCTCTGTATAAGATGAATCTTCATTCTCAATATAATAGTGTTCAGAGGGATATTTCACAAGTGACAGAACCAAGAGGGTTTCACCCTTGGCAATCTAATGTGATGTCCATAAAAATCAGGTTCATGATATAGAGAATGACCTTTCCTATAAGTTCTGAAACCCAAAAATTTAGCTTCTCCCCCATGAAACAACTGGAAATGCCATGGACTGGAGGCTGGTCTCCCACCAGGCACCAGATTCACAGGACATTGATCTTGGACTTGCCCACCTCTGAAACTGCAAATGATATATTTGTATTTTTAAAATAAATCATCTAGTTTTGGATAGTTTGCTGTAATATTATAAATTCCCTTTGGCACACAGAAATGATAAGGATGGAGAAGTAAACAGCAATGGAGAAAATGTTTTTGTTTATGTTACTGCTGACAAATAAATATTTCCATGATTGGCTGGTGGGGAAAAAAAAATCTCTAAACCCTGCGTTTCCAATCGTTTGCATCACAGACCAGTCTTCCTGGACCTGACAGGTTACCTTGGAGATACGGACTGTGGAAGGAGCTCCAGGAAAACCAGGGATACACGTTTTAAATTCACTGATTTTGCTGAAAGGGCCTATTCCACAACCATTGATTGCAGCAACTCTGAATTTATATACTGTTCCTGGAACAAGATCCTGTTTCTTAAGTAAACTGTAGTCAGGTACATCTGCATTTCCTACCTAAAATGTAAGATATATTGAAGTCAGAAAAAAGGTACACTTATTATTTCAAAGTTATAATTATTCAATTTTTATTACACAAAAAACTGTTTAAGAATGAGCTGTATTTTAGGGATGCAAGTCCATCATGTATTTCCCTTTCTCACACAAAGAGTAAAACTAGTGCAGAACCCAGTAAGTCCCTTCCTGAATCAGATTCATACCCAATGGGGAGTTGATCTGAACCTCTGACTGTAAGGAGAAAGGCAAGGGAATTCTGCACATGGGAGGCAGTAGAGGCAGGAAAAACAAAAACAAAAACCCAGAGGTGACATCACAATCAACAAAAGAAATACCCCATCCCCACGTGAACTTAATTGGGAGAAGAATCTCAGACTTGCTGTCATATAATGGTCTTCCTAGGAGCAATGCCCTTTAGAGACAGGTAAGCAAGCTTGGCAAAGAAGGCGTAACTAACATGTAGGTAGTTTTATAAATCCTACGCAGGACACTGAATAAACGTTAATGAGGATATGCTCTTGGGTGGCAATACCCTACCATCTATTCCTTTCAGACAGTTTGCAGGTGTTCTTCCTGTCACCACACCTGCCGTGACAGAGCCAGTGGACCACCACACTTTCTGGAAGCCTGGTCATCTCTACTACACAGGAAGGACACCAGATCTCAGAGTTTAGACAACTGACTTGCCTCTGCTCAAACTGAGGAATACTGGAACTAGAAATTCAAACTCCATTTTACTAGCTACAGATTTTCTGCTCTTTGTTCCTTAAGAAAAATTAGGTAGCTAACATGTCTTTACAATGGATGTATCCTTATATGGACACAGATTCATCTCCAGCCAGGGATCCTCATTAGCCATAAAAGTACTTATTTACTAGGCTTTTTTTTTTTTAAATCAAGAATTGAAAATATTTGGTGGGTGGTAGTGGTACACACCTTTAATCCCAGCACTCTGGAGGCAGAGGAAGTCAGATCTCTGTGAGTTCAAGGCCAGCCTGGTCTACAGAGCAAGTTCCAGGACACCCAGAGCTACGCAGAGAAACCGTCTTGAAAAACCAAAATAATAATAATAATGAAATAAAATAATTGAAAATATTCAAGGGTTGGGGATTTAGCTCAGTGGTAGAGTGCTTGCGTAACAAGTGCAAGGCCCTGGGTTCGATCCTCAGCTCAAAAAAAAAGAAAATATTCAATATGAAAAAGAGGAAAGGATGTCAAAAGTTTTGCTAGAGAAATTAAACTGGTAAGTGATTTTATGTGTGTGTGTGTATATATATACATATATATGTATATATATAATCATATATATATACATATATATGATTTTATGTGTGTGTGTTATATAGGTTGGATGGGATACCCTTTATCTGAAATAATTGGGTACAGCGGTTTTTTTTTTTAGATAGGCTCTCACTATGTAGCTCTGGTTGTCCTAAAACTCACTCTGTAGCCCAGACTGGCCTCATACTCACAGAGATCTGCCCGGCTCTGACTGCTGAGTGCTGAGTGCTGGGATTAAAGGCCTGTGCCACCATGCCCAGCTTGAAGCAGGTTTTTTCATTGTGTTTGTGTTTGTGTGTGTGTGTGTGTGTGTGTGTGGTTTTTTGTTTTGTTTTGTTTTTGTTTTTGAGAGGTTTCTTTATGTAGCCCTAGCTGTCCTGAAACTCACTTTGCAGACCAGGCTGTCCTGGAACTCAAAGATCTGCCAGCCTTTGCCTTCTGAATCCTAGGGTTAAAGGTGTGCACCACCATCGCTTGGCAAAATTTTTTTTAAATGAACTGTTTGTGTCACAGTTATAAATGCAGCATTAAAGAATGTAAGATGATTACATATACAGAACTCTCAATAATACACCATGAAAAGATCCCAATTTCATTCCTTCAAATGATCTGAATCAGAGTTATCAAAAATAATCTCATTCCCAAGGTTCATAATTCAATTTTTGTACATTTTGCTTGCTTTATGAAGTGTTAGAATTGTAGCCAAACTTATACACATGCTAGACATGCATTCTACTAATAATCTCCTCGGCCCTCAAAATGTAGAAAATTTACCAACAGTTTACCTTTGACATACTTTGTTTTCCTTTTGGTAGCAAATAAAACTGGCTCACCAAAGCAGTATTGTTTTTAAAAATTCCCACATCACACCATTGTTGTTCTGTTTTCAAAATGGCCACTGGATTTGAAGGTGTCTCTTTCTAATTTCAGAGAAAAGAAAGTTTATAAAGACCTTATTGAATATAGAAATGTCAAACTTGTGTGATCCCATTCAGTGGTCAACAAGTACATACCTGGTAAACAGCATACACTACTAGCTCACAGTGAACGCGATACCAACTAAACACAGGGTGTAACAGGGACTCCGCCAGGAGCTTGCTACTATGAGCCTGGCTGAGGTCAGCATGCTTCAAATCAGCGGCAGGTTAACATACCAGCTGTTAGAGAACACTGTCATTTCAGAGACCCCCAGAAAACAGAATCCCTTTGGAGAAATGCTACAGGAACAAAATTCATTCCAACTGGCCTTGTCTCTATATTCAAAACTAATAAGTAGAGATCCAGTGATCTTTGTATCTGAAATACCTGGGCTTCTCCAAAACTAAAAGGAGAAAAAAAAATGTTCAAAACTAAAATGCAATGTGAATAGACTTCAATCTATATGAAAAAAGAAGAGATTACACTGGTCTGTATTTCTTTTCTCTACTTTAAAAACAGACTTTCTCTAACTTAAGCTACTTTCGGTGGTGAGCTATCCTTACTCCTAGAACTAACCTTTCAAAACCATCTTTTTATAAATGGGACATTGTTTCCAGAAGCTCAAAACAAATGTGCACATCAGTTATTTATTTCTGACTTAATATACAAGAGCAGAGGCACATGCTCATCACTGACATTTCTGTTATTTAGGCTAGCACACACAACAAATCAACTGACTGGAAGTCTTAAAAGCTTAGGGACAGCTCTGGACTCATCTTCATTTACTAAAGATGGAAAAACTCAACAACTTTCATGAAGCACCTGGCTCCAACTGAAATAGCAAACACAACTGTGACTATATGTCATAAAACAGACTCAAAAGGAAAACCTTTCTATTTAATAATCCCTCCCCGAGAAGAGTCTACAAACAGAGATTTAACATTCTGGAAAGGGGAACACTGATGAAGGAAGATACATGATCAAAATTCCAAAAATGAAAAGAAAAGAATTATGGAAAATTCTTAAATACTCTAAAAAACAAGAAAGGAATAATAATCACAGCAATCAAGTGAAATGACCGTTTTTTTTAAACCCTAAAAACAGTATGTATGTATGTATGTATGTATGTATGTATGTATGTATGATCCTTACATTTATCTACTTAAGGCAATCCTGATGTATCTGTGAGGCACTCTGCAAACATTTAAGTTTGGTGCTATGCAGATCCATTATGACCACCCATTAAACAACGCACCGTCTGATATTTGAGCTAGCCTCCATGTATGTCAATCTCTTAGAGCAATGTTCTGCTGTGCTCCTATGATGTAGTTACCCAAGTACTTCTGTCCCTTAACAAATCCTTTAACCATTAATTTACATTAATGCACACATATGTATGTCCATTTAAATATACATAAACTGGAGAAGAATGTCAAAATGATTTGTGGCCTCACATCCCAAAGATAGTCACCTAGCAGTTGTGGCTGCTTTGTTAGGTGGTATACTGGGAATGTGAAATATGTCTATTAAATGAATTTTTACCTCAAAATTGGGACCACAAAATAGGTATTATTATTGTAGCCATCTTTTTTCACTAACTATATTATGAACATTTCCTATTCATCTACTTACTTGTAAATTTATATCAATTCCTTACTACATGAGACCTGAGACCGTTTTTATTTAAACAGACACACTCCCCTAGAACATCATCTCCACCGGATCATACACTTACAGAAAAGGGCGTTGCTGAAGCATGTACCTCTACACGGCTGATCTTAGTTGCAGGCAGAGCACCTATTTCATCAACTGAAAATCAAACCATCAGTTAAGTATTTAATCACTCAGACATATTAAAACAGTTCATAAATATACAGGGTATTTAATGCCACCAAACAATTAAACATAGTCCATATTCTATGTATTTTGCCATAATTAAAAGAACCAAAGAACTGGGGAGCTGGGGAGTTATCTCAATCCCAGAACCGATGTAAAAAAAAACTGGGCATGATCTTATTATCCCAGTACTGGTGAAGCAGAGAAAGACAGCTCTCTGGGGCTTGTCTTTCAGCCAGCTTAGTTAAATTAGCAAGCTCCATGTAAAAATTGGAGACCCTATCTCAAAGAAGAGGGTGGAGAGTGACTGAGGAAGACACCCGGGGTGTCTCTAGCCTTCTCATGCACACACATGCACAATCTGTGGACATGCATGCGTACACGTGCACACACAAAACAGGGAAACAGCCAGAGATATCAGTGATCAACAGTCACTCCAACTAGTCACAGTGTTCCTTTCATAGGGCTAAGGTGAACCTGACCCCTGGCACAGGAGAACAAGTGACAAAGTCAGTCATCATCCGTCAAGCTAGGAGGACCGTCAATCCTCGGGACCAACCTTTCCAAAGGGATGGGGTGGAGGAGGCAAGCGTCATCTCAGTGAGTGCTGGTCTGAATACTTTACATACAGGAACAAGGAATATACTGGGATTGGGGATGTAGCTCAGCATAGCATCAGAACGTTCAATTACTAACGGGACAGGCAACAAAAACTTGTCTAACTTTTGAGGTTAATAGGAGATATAGTTGGGTGCAGAGATCTACCCTATAATCTCAGCATTCAGAAGGCTGAGGCAGGAGGATCTCAAGGTAGGATATCAGGCTGGGCTACATAGTGAGATTAAAAAAAAAAACCTTTATTTTATGTGCACTGGTGGAACTGGAATTACAGACAGTTACGATCTGCCATGTGGGTGCTGAGAATTAAACCTGGGTCCTCCAGAAGAGTAGCCAGTGTTCTTAACCACTGAGCCATCTCTCCAGCCCCATAGTGAGATCTTATCTCACAAAAAAACAAAATCAAAGAAAAAAAGACATGTATATTTATCTTAACTGCTTCATGATTTGCTCCACAGTGGAATTCCCATCTACACTGGTAACTCTGATGATTTGTAAGTATAAATGGTTCAAATGCAGTATGTGAAACATGTTCCAAACCTTTAGATTTGGTACTGAATGCTGCTAGAGAAGTCCCATCTTCAGCACCTGCCTCATTTGAACTGGATGGTTCAGTTTTAACAGCCTGCTGGGCTCACATAGTTTGCGTGCTGGAAACAGTACTGGAGAGCCAAGTTTCAGGAATCCCTGCTCCTAGGTCCAGGCAACTCTAAGTCCACCTACACGTGCTGAGCACGAGGACCTGGTTTAAAGGGAAAGGTAGAGACCCTGGAGGCTTCTGAGTCACTGCTTTCTTTGTGCGCTCCTTGGCACTTTCAGTTTCCAGTCACAAACTTGAGCACTGTACACAGCACTAATGTGGATTAACCACGGGGTAGAAAATGTTTAGAAAAGGGCACTGGACCCATCATGGACATCTAACATATCTCAGCTCCCTTTTCCACTTGAAATACTGACACTGTTTGTTACTGAACTATATAGATCACATGACTGTCACTTGGTTTGAGGGGGGGGACATGAGTTTCTTCAGCGTTCTATCTTTTCCTGCCTAAACTAGAAATGTATTTGTGATCCTGTCCATTTTCTGTCTTCTCTCACATTGTGGAAAATACAGTTATATTCATGTATCCCACAATACTGAAGACTTCCTACAGGGTATTATGTTTATTTCTTTGATGGTAAAGGAAGACAGGGTTCATGCCCCACAAATGTCTTCATTTGGTACATACATATACATAAACATACATATACAAAGAGTCACAAACTGTAATGCCCACTATAAGGGAAAAAACAAAAACAAACAAACAACATTTTTATGTTTTCCTAAGCTAGGGGCCTCCTTTCTCACTCTCTTCAGCAAGCATTTTTTTGTTTTGTTTTGTTTTCCGAGACATGGTTTCTCTGTGTAGCTTTGGTGCCTGTCCTGGATCTCGCTCTGTAGACCAGACTGGCCTCAAACTTACAGAGATCTGCCTGGCTCTGCCTCCCAAGGGATGTGCCACCACTGCCCGGCTCTATCTGGATTCTTAAACTGAGCTTCCTTCTTTGTGAGTAAGTACCTTGGGCTGTAAACACTAGTCACCAATCACTCACTAGTTGAGCACATATGTATGGCCTGGGCACAATACTGGCTGTTGGAATCCAGCAGTGAACATGTCCACAAGGCCTCCCTCCGCTCTTGTGGCACTTACATTTTAGATAAGCCTACATTGTATTTCTAGGTGAGAACTGCTTCCTAGCCTGCACACTATGTATCTAACTGCCCAGTGTGCTCCTCCTGCACCTAGCTGGGTTCACAGGTGGACACTCTTCCGGAGTGTCCTTGTCCCTGCACTGTCATTCTGATGAAGAGCCGTGTCCATTCTGATGGTCATCTAAAAAGTCTTGCTTGACTTGCTTTTTTCTCTCATAACCAACCAGTTGCCAAGTTTAGTTAATATACCTTTTTAAGAGCATCTTCAATGTTTAGTTTTCATTCTGTCTTACCCACTGCTTTGTCTTTACGCACTACTATCTGAGAGTACTAAAAGAAGCCCTACCCAGTCTTTCAATTCTTTCCTAAAATGTCTCTTCCTCCGGTAAAGTCAGAGGTTTCTTTCAAGGAAAACACAATCTAATCCTATCACCCCTTTCCTCTTAGGGATACACACTGGCAGCTCTTCCATCTGTAAAGGATGTCAAGCTCTGTGTAACCTAGACTGAGCAGCCATCCCTGACACGGAGTGCTTAGGATGTGTCAGGCACCGTCCCACAACCTTTGGCTTTACTATTTGTTCAGTACCAACTTTACTCAGGATTTGGAAATCCCAAGCTCAAGTTTGTTTTCACAATATAAACTTCTTTGCAAGACAGAGAAGTTACAAATAAGAAATCTTAAATTGGAGGTTTAGGACCAAGTTTATCTGTACAAATAACACCTTTGTATCAAGAAAGCCAGTGACCCTGTCGGGTGTAGTGGACACACCTATGATCCCAGAACCTGGAAGGGTGAAGCAGGAGAATCACTAGGAGCTGAGGCTAGCCTGTGATACCTAGTGAGTCCTAAGCCAGTCTGGGATACAGAGTGAGCCTATTTCAGAACAAAAATAAAATAAAAGCTGGGTGGTGGTGATGGTGCACACCTTTAATTCCAGCACTTGGGAAGCAGAGACAAGCAGATCTCTGTAAGCTCAAGACCAGCTTGGTCTACAGAGCTACACAGAGAAACCATGCCTCAAAAAAAACCAACCAACCAAAACAAAAGCAGAGAGAAGGAAGACCAAGCAAAGGAAAAGGAAGGAAACTCAACAAAGTGCTCCTTCTGTGTAAGCATAGCAACAGAACAGTACAGCAAATAATCTTTCTGGAGTATATTTATCTACTGTTCAAAATGGAAATAAAAAGAATGTTTATTCTGTTTTATTTGAATCCCACAACCACTAGATTTAGAACAGCTATCACAATATCTTAAAATTAAAAAGCTATGTTTCTATTCCAAGGATATACTGAAATAAAATTTATAAAATAATTGCAGATATTGAAATCATAAGCAATACTTGATATATATCTCAATGGCAACTGAATATTCAAATATAACCGGGCAGGGTGGATCGTGCCTACAATCTCAACACTTTATAGGCTGAGGCAGTAGAATTGCCACAAGTTTAGGTCAGCCTAGGCTACAATAGTGAGTTTTGGACTAGCATGGGCTACAGAGTAAGATCCTGTTTAAAAAACAAAAATAAAAAAACCTAAAAATCAAAACAAAATACAACAGAATATTCAAATAAAAAAACCACCAAATTATGAGCTATCTTATAAAAGCAAGTAATTAATGAACAGTTCCCATAACTGAATTACCTTAATTCAGATACCTGCTACACGACTATTTACTAAATGACAACTATTCATCAAGCACAGATCTCAGCCTTTTGGAAAGAGGAACAAGATGAATAAATTATCTCTTACATAAAAAGTGACAGAAAATAAGCACAAGGAAAGTCACACTGACCACACTGACCAAAGTCAATTCAACAAGAACTTCCCTGACTGCAGTTTCACACTTAGAATCTGTCAAGAGGCTCACTATGAAGAAAATGATTAAAACCATGGTAATATAAGTACTTGCCTTTAATCCCAGCACTCAGGAGGCAGAGGCAGATGGAGCTCTGTTAGTTTTAGGTCAGCCAAAGCTACACAGTAAGACCTGAACACACACACACCCCACCCCACTCCCCAAGGACAGTGTAACTATCTACTTTTTCAGTAACTCTAAGATTCTCTATCAATGCTATAAAGGTTTAATTTGATTTAAAATGTAACCTTATACCTTCATTCTTCCATAGCATATCCGTCACACAACTGTTATTATTAGAAGCATTAGGCGCCAAAGGTGAATGTAAAGCAGCATTAGACTCTGTTGCTCTGAAATCTGGTTTGTTTCTCACTGCAGTTCCCTTCATGGCTGTGTGTTCAGTTTTTGCACTGTTTACTGTATCACTAACCTACAAGAAATAAAATAGTTCATCATAGGAAGTAATGTGCAATAAACCAGAAGTCAGTACTGTAAAACCAAGTCAAACAAGTTACAAGTACATTTGGGAAAGTGAATTCACCAGCAGGGAGTGGTGGTGCACGCTTGTAATTCCAGGTCATTTGAGACACAGGCAGAAAGCTCCAGTGCTCTAGGGAGCCTAGGCTAGCAAGTAAGATTCCCAAAACAACGAAACTCAAATTTACTCAAATATAAAACATTTAAAATTAGATCCCTAATTTTTTTTGTTTTTGTTTTTTGTTTTTGTTTTTTGTTTTTCGAGACAGGGTTTCTCTGTGTAGCTTTGCGCCTTTCCTGGAACTCGCTTTGGAGACCAGGCTGGCCTCGAACTCACAGAGATCCGCCTGCCTCTGCCTCCCGAGTGCTGGGATTAAAGGCGTGCGCCACCACCGCCCGGCAAGATCCCTAATTTTTATAATCATTCTTTAGCCTAGTAGTTTTAAGATTTTTTTTCACCTAATCTCCTTGTTCCAAAGATTGTATTTTTAGTTCAGCTTTTTCAAATGGTGGCTGGTATTTCAAGTATTTATGTAGCACACTTTAGTAAAGAGGCCATGAAAACTGCTTTAGCATTTTTATTAACAATTTTTTTTTGGAGACAGGGTTTCTTGGTGTAGCCCTGGCTGTCCTGGAATTTTCTTTGGAGACCAGGCTGCCCTCGAACTCATAGAGATCCACCTGCCTCTGCCTCCCAAGTGCTGGGATTAAAGGTGTGCGCCACCACTGCCTGGCATTAATAATTGTTTAGTTGATTGTGTGTATAATGTGCAATGGTGCACACATGCCATGACACACATGTGTGGTCAGAGGACAACTCTATGATATCCATTTCCTAATGCTTTTATGTGGGTCTTGGGGACTGAACTCTGGTGGGCAGCCTTGCATAGTAAGTTCTTGACTCACTGAAACATTTTGTTAAGAGCCCCCCCTATTCAATTTTTAAAAAACCAATCAGACACATAGCCGAAAGGGCTGATGACTCCTAAGAGGAAAATTTCAGCAAATGAATTATTCTCTATGATTGAGTTTCACATATAAAGATTCAACATACTACACATCAATATTATTTACTATTAAACATTTGGTCAGAAACCTTCCTAATGCTGAGCCTGGAGGTCTGAATATATAATTCTGGCTACTCTGAGAGGCTGGGGTAGAGAAGATGGAGCCCAGGAAAGAGGAGAGGAAAGAGGAAGGGAAGGAGAGAGGAGGGAGACAGGATTTTATTAGTGACATTTTAGTTTACCACCCTAAATATACTATAATAAACACATTTAAATTTTATGGCAGTCCAAGTTATCAGTAACAACATCATCAATTATATAGCCATGGAACTATAAAAATGACCTGCCTTTCTTCAAATACTCCAATGTTGCTGCTGTTTTACCTGAGCGCGCGCGCGTGTGTGTGTGTGTGTGTGTGTGTGTGTGTGTGTGTGTGTGTGTGTGTGTGTGTGTGTGTGTGTTTATACTCACTGAACCATCTTGCTGGCCTCTAGATTTTTAATTTGCTGGTGAGTTGCTGACTTGAATTTTACAAAAACAATTACATGAATTTTGGCTCACAAGGAATCAGGATGGAATTTCCAACAATGTATGGAATGGACCTAAACATACTTCTGCCATTTTGTCTACATTATTTATGTGAGGTGGCATTCTCAGCATTTATAATAATAAAATAAAAATAGCCATCAATTTTCAAAAACACTGAAGATGTTCTAAAAATCCTCCAGTTAACAAAGCACAATCTTCTCATCAGTATGCAAATTTGCTTAATAACAGTAAAACTGTATATATACCAAATAATTATTTTAAAAGCAATTTCTCAGGATGGGGAGATGACTCAGTTGATAAAATACCTTCAGCACAAACATGAGGAGCTGAGTTCAATCACCTGGACCCAAATAAACACTCACGAGAGTCGGGCAGTGGTGGCGCACGCCTTTAATCCCAGCATTTGGGAGACAAAGCCAGGCGGATCTTTGTGAGCTCGAGGCCAGCCAGGTCTACAGAGCGAGATCCAGGAAAGGCGCAAAGCTACACAGAGAAACCCTGTCTCGAAAAACCAAAAAAAAAAAAAGCTCATGCAAAAAAGTTGCCTTGTGGTGGTGCTCGCTTATAAGCCCGGTGCTGGGGAGACAGAGACAGGAGGATCCCTGGGTCTCGCTGGCCAGCCAGTCCAGTTGCATTTACAAGACCTAGGTTCAGGGAGATCCCATCTTAAATACATGGTGCAGAGTGATTGAGGAGGACACCTGGTGTTGACCTGTCTTCCATGTGATCTTGCATACAAATGTACACTTGCATACACACACAATACACTTCTCTATCAATTATTATTAGCAAATATTTCATTTGTATACTTAGTTTATATACCTATATATTGGATTATGCAAAATTTTCTTGGGCAAAAAAATGGGTTATGAATCGAAAAAGTTTAGGAGGTCCTGGACTAAAGGATGAAGAAGAGCTCCAGGAAACAAAAAGAAAAAGAAGAAAAGAAATTGCTTTGGATGTTGGGATTTGATTATGAATTAATTGTAGGAAAGGAAGAAATAACTAAAAAGGGAGGCAGCTAACAACAGAAAAGGCTAAGCTGTGTGTCAAGGAGCAACACTAATGGCTCACTGCAGGGCTCATCTATGGATACATCATCGTCATCGTGACACAAACATCAAGTTCAATTCCACTAAAACACTTCCAGGCTGGAGAGGAGTGAAAATGGGGAGGGGTGTCCTCAAGTCTTCCCTTCCATTATTTTTTCTGTGTGTGTGTATGTGAACCTGTCTGCACGTGTGTGGAGACCCGAGGACACCTCGGCTGCAGTTTTCCGAGACAGGCGTCCTCCAGTGGGCCCTGCGACTCCTCCTGTCTCTCCTCCTAGTACCGGGGTCTCCAGGACTCACCACTACTCCCAGTTTCCTCTGCTCTTATTGAAGAGAAGTGATCAAAAGCTAGAAAGTAAAGGTGTAACAAAATAAGGATTTAATTTATTGCATCGCTCTCTATGTAGCTCTGGCTGTCCTGGAACTTACTATGTGACCGGGCTGGCCTCAAACTCACAGATGTCACTGCCTCTGCTTCCCGAGTGCTGGCATTATAGGCGGGCTACCACACCCAACTATGTGAGGGGGCATTCTCAGCATTCATAATAATTCATTCAAGTGTGCACAGCTAGATACTGAAAGAAAGCTAGAAGGGTTGAAAGGAGTTGTTTTTAGCAAGATTCAAGAACAGGGAGGGGCAAGGCAGTCACCCACTATCTTATCACAAACCATGCAGTACTGTTCAGCTTATGATATACATACATACAATACTCATGACACATGTAGACACACAATGTAAATGTAGTTTGTCTTCTAAAATAGGCTACTCACAAACTGTATGAGCAAAACTTGTAATATCTCCTTCCTGGACAACTACAGTATTTTCTCATCCTCTCGGTCATGCTCAGAACAGGACTATACCTCATCCCTTTCTAAGGAAAGGATTCACTGATATCAACAGCAGTTTTCCCAGATGAAATTTTAATAAGCCGAGCCATTAATGTCCACAAATACTTACCATGACCACTTCATATGGAACAAGTAAACTCACACAAAGTTGTTCGGTTTAGCTATTGACAGTCTTTGGTAAATAAAAGAGTTAATATGTAGATATTCTTAAATCATATTTATAGATTCAGAATAAATATATGTATAACATCTAAGAATATCACAATATAAACATAAAAATACTTTCTTGGAGCTGAGACAGGGTTTTGTGTAGTTCAGGCTGGCTGAGGCTGGCCTTGATCTTCTGGACCTTCTGGCTCCACCTCTCCAGTGCTGGGATTACAGCCTGGCTCCTAGGTATCAATTCAAGAGGAATAGCATCCAATGCTATGTGCACTGAGACTAGACCTCTCTCCAACAAGGTTGTTCAATTCAGGCTCTGTCATAAGAAGTCTGTGGAACCTTTTTCTCCTTTTACTTCTGTGGTGCTAGAGACAGAATCCATGGTCTCGTGTGTGCTACCAAGCACTCTAACGCTGAACTTCATCCCCAGCCCTGTGAAAACCGGGTTGCCTGGACATCTGAGGTGGTTCTCATATGAAGCCAGGAGTAATTATTCATGATAATATGCAAAAAAACCTCCATAAACCTGGGACTAAAGCCATAAATATTCATTTGTCATCACAGGGGCATCAACTTACACTGTTATGAAGGATGCTATTACTGCCTTGTCTGTGAGGGTCCATCCTGCCTCCTGTAGGAATGAGAAAGTTCACACTGATATGCTCTTAATTAGCATCCATAAAATATGTTGTAAATAGTTATAAGTTTACATTAAAGATTAAAATATCATCTTTATCCAAGTTTATCTGCTTCCTTAATAGTTATTTAATAGTTGCTGAAGCTGTAACAAATTTTGTTACTTTCCAAGGGCCTGTTCAGTTAAAAACACTTTTGAAAACCAGTGAAATATTTCTGAAAGCTAATTAAAAACATGTCTGGAACTCAAGTAATATAGATTTTCAAGTACACAGAATGAACTGCAGGAAAGCACTCTATGCACCTTTCTGAGTTCTGCTACAACAAAGAGTGAGACAGCCAGGCTTCAGAGCTGACACTCAGGAAAGCTGGCTTGCCAGGTATATACCAGGGCATCTTAAAATTCATGCATTTTCCTGAACCAAGCATCATCACAGGACTTTCTGCAGTATGTTTTTAAAAAGCACATGAGCAGACATGCATTCTTTAAGCATGACACTTATTTTACCTAGCATATTTGGTGCTGCTGAAGAATCAGGTGATGCAGCTTGGTATGGCAAGTCAGTATTCAATTGCAAAAGATAGCCCTCAACGGTCGGCACTTCGTCCCACTTGACATGGAAAGAGTTGGTAGTAGCTTTGATCAACTGGACTTGTGATGGTGCTGGCGGTTTCTCTAAAGAAAAACATTTATATAGGGCCTTTAGTTTCAAAAGCATCAATAAGTTGCCAACACAGTTTTGGTGGACAGTTTTGAGAACCCCAGCAATGAGCGCGGTGTCTGTTTACTGAAGACACTTCAACAGAGAGAGTCAAATCAAAGGAGTCTGAAGCTCCGTTTTACTCACTTTCTCCTACAAATAAAACAACCCAGAACCGAACTACTTGTGTCGTTAGAATCAGGGGCTAAAGGTCGACCCTGAACCCAGTCCTGTCTAGAAGACCGAGGGTGCGACTGGGTGTTACAGAACTACTGCTCTGTTGTTGTTTGACCCTCACAAATTCTAGGTTTTTTCATTTAAAGAACTGATTTTCAACCAACAGCATACATGCTAGAAATACTGCTATTAGCAAAGATGACTTGGATATATTTTGGAAGAATAGTAAGTTTTAATATCCCTTTAACAAAATCAGTATTACCCAAAACACATAACCTTGGTATAAGATATCACTAACATAAAGAAAAATATTGCTAACATTTTCACAAGTAACAGATATTTAAGATTACAGTCAGGTGGTGGGTGGCACATACCTTGAAACCCAGCACTGGGGAGGCAGAAGCAAATGACTCTCTGAGTTCAAGGCCAGCCTGGTCTACACAGCAAGTTCCAGCACAGCCTGTATACACAGAGAAACCTTGTCTCGGAAAACAAAAACAAAAAAGTTCTGAGATTATGGATTTTATGACAATATCTTTGGTCCAACCTTCTGTGTATACTTAGGATGTCAGCAAGGTTCACAACTGAGAGAAGTATGCTCCTAGCTTTGGACAGTTAGCTAAGAAAATCCATCTTTGTGATTTGCTCAGCTGTCTAGAGCAAGTCTAATATTAATATCTACTTCACTTTTAAATACCTCTTTAAAATATTTTAATCATTATTTTATGTATATAGGTATTTTGCCTTCATGTATCTCTGTACATCATGTGCATGCCTGGTGCACAGAGACCAGGAGAAGGTGTCGTCGGGTCCCCTGGAATTGGAGTTACAGATGGTTGTGAGGAACCACGTGGGTGTGGAAATTGAACTCTGGTCCTCTAGAAGAACAGTGTGTGCTCTTATCAGCTGAGTCATCTCTCCAACCTCAAATGTATTTTTTTACTGATGATCAGCAACATATGGCCATAGGCAGTCCATGCCTGTTTCCTAAACAAGTTCTGTGGAAATACAGCAAGACTCATTTGTTAGTGTATTTTGCCTAGGGTTGCTTTCATGCTTCAAGATGAGTTAGGAGACCATATGGCCTAGTTCCTTCAATAATTCCCATATAAAGTCCTCCACCATCCCTTTAACAATCCAAGCTGTTTATATCCGCTCAAGGTAAGACAACTCACACCTGAGTAAAAAGCAAACATTTTGGAAAATCCAGGAAGCTGACCAAACAGAGATATTAAGGTAGAAGACATGAAAAGAATTTTAAAAACTGTAAATCCTGAAATAAATTTCTATGAAACTAAACAATATGAGTTTCCAGACTGAAAGGGTCCACTGATACTCCTCACAATAGATTAGAAAGAGGGCTGAAGAGATGGCTTGTGAACATCAGCTTTCTTCCAGTGAACCTGAGTTTACTTCCCAGCATACACACACATCAACTGGGTCACAACCATCTGTAGTTCCCACTCTAGGGGATCAGATGCCTCTGGCTTCTGAAGGCACCTGCACTCACTTGCACATGCTAAATAAAATTCAGACATACATACCTACAAACAATTAAAAATAACCACAACAAAACCTCCTTTAAAAAGCAAAACAAGCCGGGCGGTGGTGACACACGCCTTTAATCCCAGCACCCGGGAGACAGAGCCAGGCAGACCTCTGTGAGTTCAAGGCCAGCCTGGGCTACAGAGCGAAATCCAAGAGGCACCAAAACTACACAGAGAAACCCTGTTTCATAAAAAAAAAAAAAAAAAAAAAAAAAAACCCTACAAAACAAAACGCACACAAACGTGTAAGCAAGGCAGAATGGTGGCACACACCTAAGGCAGGAGGGCTGAATAGTTGAGGCCTCTTGGGCTATTTTGGAAGACTGTCTAAATAAACAGAAACAATCACCCGCATCATAAAATTTTAAAATTGCAAGAACAGGAAAAAAATTACAAAGCTTCTAGAGGCAGGGGAAGGGAAAAAGGTCATGTTAAAAAGGATCAAAACTGAAACCTAGAAAATGCTAGAGGAAAATGTAAGGAAGACAACTCAAGTTCCAGGCATAGGTACCTAACAGGACTCCAGTCACTCAGGAAATAAAGCAATCATCAACAAATGGGACTACATGGAATTGATTTTTTTCACAGCAAAGGAAAGTGCTAACCGAGTAAAGAGGCTGATTACAGAATGGGAGAAAGTCTTTGTCATCTGTAAAGGATTGTTACGTAAAATATACAAAGAACTTAAAATCCTAACAGCAAGAAAACAAACAACTCAATTAAAAAAAATGGGTTGAACAGCAGAGAATTTTCAAAAGAGAAATAAAAAATGGCTAATAAATATTTTTTAAATGTGTTCAACATCCTTGACCATCAGAGAAATGCAAATGAAAACTACTCCGAGACTCTGTTTCATCCTTGTCTTAGTCGTCGTCATCACAACAAATGACAGTGGACACTGAAAAAGGTGGACACAAGAAACCGCTGGCCCAACTGTAAACTGGACAGACATTACGGACATAAATGAGGGACCCTCCAAGGGCTAGAGAGAAGTCCCCTTGATTTAGTTATACCACCCCTGGGCATCTACCTAAGGGACTTTACATTCCATTATAGACACACTTCCTCATCTGTATCTATGGCTGCTCTGTTCATAACAGCAAGGAAATGATCAGACTAAATGTCCATCACTAAGTGAGTAAATAGTGAAAAACTGGTACATAGGCACAAGGAAAAATCAAACTATAGTTTGAATAGATGGAGCTGCAAAGTATAAATGAAGCAGAGGTTTAGAAAGACAACATGTCCTCTCAAGCGGGTCTCAGCCTCTGACCTCTGTATCACTATATGAATGTCTGTAAAGGATGAGGCGGCAGACTCCAGGAAACAGGAAAGGGGCCTGAGAGAGGGAGAAAAAATAACTTTCAGCAGAAAGTTACCCTAGAATTAAATCTTACTGTTGTCTATGTCTTAATTAATACTCAAAAAGTCATGATTGATTAGTATCTGACCATTTATGAGAAATTTTAAACTCCCAATCATGTTGTTAGAATTTCTAATTTACTTCAGACTCATTTCCTCTTCTGATTATCCATGTTGCTGAGGATGCTGCTGTGTTCTGCATTTGCACATTTCTACAACTATCTCCACTGAGTTTCATTTGATTTTAATCTTGATGCTTTCATTTTTCATTCTTATTATGTAAATTTAAATCTTCTAATAAAAACTTGAAAACAACAGGTTAACATATGAAAGAAGCCAACTGACAAAAAAGGAAGAACTAAACTGAGAAGTCGCTTGAGACCTTGTCATAGAAGAGACCAGTGATGTTGCTGCTATTGTTGTGAGACATCAAACTAGGAAACTTTACTTCACTGTTGTTGTATGTAGGGGTGTTTGCTTACATTTGTCCATGTACCTGTGGAGGCCAAAAACTGGCATCAGATACCGTAGATGTGTTTTTGTGTGTTTTACTTACATGTATGTGTGGGGCCTGAGGAGGCCATAAGAGGGCATCAGATCCTTTGCAACTGGAGTTACAGATGATTGTGAACGGCCCTGTGGATGCTAGGAATCAAAGCCAGGGCCTCTGGAAGAGCAGCCAGCACTATTAACTGCTCAGGGGGTCTCTCCAGCCCCATGGTGCTTTTAAGACTCTCTGGGTTTTAGCATAAAATTCTATTTACATCAAAAACTATCAAATAAATTTATATGTACTCATTTTTTTCTTATAATTTTAGCAACTGAAGCTTATCTTTGTATTATCTGTGTCCTGGCTAATTTTATGCCAACTTGACACAAGCTAGAGTCATCTGAAAGGAGGGACCCTCAACTGAGAAGATGCCTCCATAAGATCCAGCTGTAGGCATTTTCTTAATTAGTGACCAATGGGGAGGGTCCAGCCCATTATGGGTGGTGCCATCCTGGGCTGGTGGTCCTGGGTTCTCTAAAAAAGCAGGCTGAGCAAGCCATGGGGAGCAAGCCATGGGGAACAAGCCAGTAAGCAGCATCCCTCCATGGCCTCTCTGCATCAGCTCCTGCCTCCAGGTTCCTGCCCTGTCTGAGTTCCTGTCCTGATTTCCTTCAAAGATGAACAGTGCTGAGGAAATGTAAGCCAAATAAACCCTTTCTTCTGCAAATTGCTTTGGTTATGGTTCCACCACAGTGAAAGAAACCCTAACTAGGACAATCAGTAAATCTCAATTTAAAAGACAAATCAGTGAAGTGGATTTTCTGAATTTCTTTCTCTTTGCTATTGCACATTTTAATCAAAGCATCTAGTCTCCAGTTTAAGTGTTCCACTGTTACAATCAACTTTTTCATTACAAAAGCATTACATAAGCCAAGCACGACCAGGAGGTAGCAGCAAATGCATTTAATCCCACCATTTGGGAGACAGACAGTGGATCTCTGACTTCAAGGCCAAGTTGGTCTACAGAGCGAGTTCCAGGACAGCCAGGGCAGTTACACAGAGAAACATTGTCTTGGGAAACAAACAAACAAATAAACAACAAACAAACAAACAAACAAACCCAAGCATGTTGTTTGCTTGCACACCTTAATGCCAGCCAGCACAGGGAACTGGAGACAGAGGATCAAAGTTTATCCTTGGCCACATAGTGAATTGAAGGCCAGCTGGGATACCTAAGACTCGACTGTGTCAAAAATAAATAAATAACTTTAGGGAAGGGAATTAGAACAAAGTCTTAGGACATGTATGAAAATGTCATAATGAAACCTGTGACTTTCTACCTTTACTCATGGGTCTATGTGCATGTGGGCACAGACACAAAGCTAGAAGAGGGTGTCAGATGCCTTGGAGAGGGAGTTACCCACAACTGCCTGATATGATGCTAGGAACTAAAGTCCTCTTCAAGAACTGAATGAGGTATTAACTGCTAAGCCATCTCTCCAGCCCCAAGAAAGGTAAGTCTTACAAACTGTAATAAATTATCCTCACAGTAAAGGCTCTTCAGAACTTCTCCATGGAAAGTACTTTTAAAAGCTGTAATGAGCCAGGCAGTGGTGGTGCACACCTTTAATCCCAGGACTCAGGAGGCAGAGGCAGGTGGATCTCTGTGAGTTCAGGCCAACCTGGGCTACAGAGTGAGTTCCAGGAAAGGCACAAAGTACACAGAGAAACCCTGTCTTGGGGAAAAAAAATAAATAAATAAGCTGTAATGAGTTTTTAAACTAGTATATAAACTAACTGCCTTCTGAAACAAAGCCCAATACCCTCTAAAGGATGATATTAGATGATAACGATATAATAAAATTACCAATAAAAATGATTAGAAATGGGGGCTGAGACAGCTCAGTGGTTAAAGCAAGTACTGCCTCTTTCCCAGCACACATCTTGCAGCTGATAACTGCCTATAAGTCTAGCTCCAGAAGATCCACTGCCTTCTGGCCTCCTCAGTACTGTACTTATGTGTGTGCAACCACAAACACATACAAACTAAGATAAAATAAATCTTAACAGAAAATTACTAGAAATGCAACTGAAACAAGCCCTCCAGGAGAAGAAAACTGATTCCACACGACAGACCTGAAGTGTAGAGGACAAGGACTGTGAACAGTGTTGTGTTCCTTACCCCTTCCTATATTCCCTCCTCTACACCGCCCTTTCATTCCCACGCCATGTAACGTTCCTGCCATTATTCTCCCCTCCCTCTTTCTGTCACTGTGCTCTCCCAAAGGGCTCTAGAATACAGTGACTCTAGAATACCCTAAGCGGGACATCTCTATCACCTGCCTTCCTCCCACACTCGGGATCACTTTGCAATAGGGGCAGGAAGACTACAAGGTAGCGGGATGGCTACAAGGAAACGGGGTTTTCAGGACACATGGGGCAGTCGCACACACCAACTCACAGTGGTTCTCACCCCATGCACAAGACCCACACAAGACAAAAAGAATCCCAGCATGGAGCCAGGAGGTGAACATGAAGTCCTGCCTCTAGCTGAGAAGCTATTGGTAACTGAGAGCTGCTGGGAGAGGGAGAGTTACGTTTTCTTTAAGGGTATAGTCTCTGGTAGGTTGGCCTAATTTCTGGTAGGATGGCCACACACCCAAGAATATATGGGTGGCACTACCTGGACTAAACACACTTTTTTCCCCCTGTTTTTTCCAGACAGGGTTTCTGTGGTAGCTTTGGCTGTCCTGGAACTCAGTAGACCAGGCAGAGAGATCCGCCTGTCTCTGCCTGAGTGCTGGGATTAAAGGTGTGGGCTGCCATTCCTGGCTGACTGAACAGATTTAAAAAAGTAAAAGATCTATGGGTACACAATCGGGTGGAGGAGGAAAACAGCTGTGGTTAAAACACCAAGTACACAGCTGAAGAGATGCTCAGAGGGTGCTTGTTCTTGCAGAAGACCAGGGTTCGGTTCCCTGCATCTACATGGTGGCTCTAATTCCAATTCCATAATGTCTGATGCCCTCTTCTGAACCCCTCACGGGCACCAAGCACACACATGGTGCACATACTTACAGGCAAACACTCATACATAAAAAAAAAAAAATCTAAAATCTAAAAATACAATATTTGAAATTCTCAGAAATTTTTTAAAGATTTTTATTGTTTTCAACTGTGTGTGTGTGTGTGTGTGTGTGTGTGTGTGTGTGTGTGTGTGTGTGTGTACACACACTCAAATGCATGCACCACAGAGCATGTATGGACATGTCAGAGGACAACTTATATGAGTCAGTGGTTTCTCTTTCCATCATGAGGGCCCTGGGGAATGAGCTCATGCTGTCAGGCTTGACAGCAAGCACCGTTAACTGATGAGACATCCTGCTGTCCTCCACTTGAAAACTTTTGATGCAACTACTAAGAAATGCTCTAAAATGTCCTTTAATCTGAGGCTGTTTGGCACCATTATACTGGGGTTACAGATTTGTAGGAAAGTACCAACAGGAGTAGAGTATTTCTTGCTGCATTTTTTTGTTTTTATTTTGTTTTTGTTTTGAGACAGGGTTTTTCTGTGTAAAAGCTCTGGCTGTCCTGGAACTCTAGACAGGCTAGCCTCAAACTCAGATATCCACCTGCCTGTGCCTCCCAAGTACTGGGGTTAAAGGTACATGCCACTACTGCTGCCCTGCTCTCCTGCCACATTTTTTATTAGAGTGTAAATGATATGAATATAATTGATCACTAATGATAATGATCTTGATCACTTTAGATGAGCTTGCAAGGTCTGATCATAGAATAAGAATAGTTTTCTTCTTCCATGCTTTGGGAAGGAATCTTTAAACCCATTCTACATTCAATAAGAGAGGAATTAATAGACTCCTTTGAAGTGGGGAAGAGTTACATATTTCTTTCAGTGATTTCTTATTGTAAGAAAAGAGGAAATTATATTCATTTAAAGTCTTTGAAGACAGATACTGAGTATCTATAGGTAGAACTTAATTAAGTACTCTTACCTACCAGTATCAAGATACCAAAGATCCTTGCAGCAAACTTGACTATTAAGTGCTTTTTTATAGCCATCTCTTCCACTCCAAAAATATAATCGAGTTCCGATTGCAACAGCACAGTGTCCAGCTCTTGGTCTGGGCCTTGAATTTTTTTTATCTTCTTGAGAATCTGATACTAGAGTTGTCCACTCTGCTGTATCTAAAAAGAGAGATATTTCCATGACTCCGTTAGTGCTCTGAAGCAACAAATAGCAAAAATTACTTTATTATGTCAATGAGCAAGTTTCAAAGACTCACCTAGATTTAGGTAAGAAAATGAGCTGGTACATCTCCATTCACAATCATGAGGTGAATTCTCAGTATTTTCCCCCTTGTGTGGAACCCATCCACCAAAAATGTACATCCTAGAAAGCAAAAGAAAACCAAGAACTTAAAGTAAGTGGTTTAGTTTTACTTTTTGGATAGGAAATACAAGGATGAACTTAAATTTATTTGTCGGTTTGAAACTTCAGAACCACTTGCTTACCTACAACACTGTAAAGACAGTATTATATAAGTAAAATGGTCCTTTAAAAAGGAGTTTACCACCGGGCAGTGGTGGCACATGCCTTTAATGCCAGCACTCGGGAGGCAGAGGCAGGTGGATCTCTGTGAGTTTGAGGCCAGCCTAGTCTACAGAGTGAGATCCAGGAAAGGTGCAAAGCTACACAGAGAAACCCTGTCTCAAGAAAAAATAAAAAAAGAGTTTACCAGGTTGGGAATTTAGCTCAGTGGTAGAGCGCTTGCCTAGCAAGCACAAGGCACAAGGTTCGATCCTCAGCTCCAAAAAAAAAAAAAAAGTTTACCATTTTAAGTCAGGGTGGTACACATCTGAAGTCAGAGGTACTTGGGAAGAGGAGGATTACTGGAGTCCACACTGGGAAATGAAACAAGAGCCTGTCTCAACAACAGCAGCAAATGAAATCAACAACTTGATAAAGTGTACTGAATCAAAATTATACTCTGGAAAGTAAGTTTAGTGAAGAGTGTTTCAACTATAATATGCTTAAAACCCAGTCCTATGTGTAATACAGTCAGGGTGCAGGCATCCATCCCTGCTTCCTGACTGTAGATGCACTCCAAGTTCCCAAAAATGGATAATTACCACCTCCAATTGTGAGCACAGCCAGCCCTTCCTTCCTAAGTTGCTTCTGTCAGGAAAAGTAACTAAGACAGAGACCAAAAAAGATGAGATTTCACCTAACTCTGGGTTACTGCAATGACTTCAATGTAACAACTTTAAGCCTGTAGTCCCAACTGCATGGGAGGCTGTGGTAAAAGGAGCTTGAACAAGCTTGGTAGTGCAGGCTTACAATCCCAGCTACCCAGGGAGGCTGAAGCAGGAAGATCGCAAGTCTGAGGCCTGCCTGGACAAGTTAGTGAGACTTGGTGAGGTAGCTCTACGTATGGTAGGACACTGCGATACGTGTTAAGATGCTCAGTTCAAACTCCAGCATTGTTTAAAAGAACAGATCAAGAACCTTAAACTTCCCCCAGCACTCCAGGGGTTCTTGTCGGAACACTGTCCAGGCATGGAGCAGTGTAGAAATTCTTAGTGCTTGTGGGGAAACTCCAAGAAAACAAGACAAGAGTCTTGTGACCTCAGTTTCTTCAAAGCACACAATTGTTCTTGGAATGTGTTTTCATGCTCCTCTCAACTGTAGTGGATAGGAGTTTAACTTCAGCTGTTGTTATTCATATGCTTCTATGGAAAAGGTGTTTTTACCTCATGTGGCTTGTCCTTGTGATTGAACATCTTACTTACATGATTCTTAACTCTCAGAGTACAAATTGTCTAATGCTCCAAATAAAGTTGTCTATTGCATGAGACTTTTAGTCCACCTCATTTTTAGGCCCTGCTCTCCCAGACTCACCGCCAATTAGAGCAATAAACAGTTCTTTTTAATTTTTTCTAAAACATATTTTATTTCACGTATATGAGTGTTTTGCCTGCATTTACGCATATGTACCATATGTATGCCTGATGTCTCTGATTCCCCAGAACTGGAGTTAGTGATGGATGTGAGCCAACCACAGAGAGGACACAGCAGCTTGGCCACACCTTCTGACACTTAGGTCATGCCATACCAGGAAAGGCATGGAGAGGAAGGCAACTAGGTATCACAGATGGCAGTAAAAGAAGTCAATATGGGTTGGGGATTTGGCTCAGTGGTAGAGCGGTTGGGCCCTAGGTTCAATCCGCAGCTCAAAAAAAAAAAAAAAGAAGTTAATGTACAGGTGTTTCAGCTCACACAGACAAGTTACTTTAGCTGTGGCTAGCATGAGGCATTATTAAGTTTACTAATCTATTTCTAAGAAAGTAACATCTTTACTTTGCTTGGTATGAATCAAAGTTGGTAAAAATGAAAGCAAGCCATACTTGTTTCCAATGACACTGGCTGTATGGAGGCTTCGTGGAAGTGGTACAGTCCCCTTTGTTTCTGGTTGTGACCATGACATAGTTTCTAGAAACAAAAATAAGCAAATCAGGAACTTGATCTAATAATAGTACATCACCTTAATTTACACACAAGTATAGAACAAAAGAAGTACTTATCAAAATGAAGCAAAAATGTTTTAAATCAGTTATCTGAATTTCATCTTAAACATTTCCAGACCACAAAAACTTAAAATTAGAAATCTATTTACATTTGAATTTAACATTTATACTAAAGAAGTATGCTTAAAATGTCATTAATTTTGATTACATATAATATTTTTGACTTTACCATTGTAAATAAATGTGTGAAACAGTCAAAAATGAGAAGTACATTTCCAGTTACTCACTTCTAGAGAGCTGCCCTCAGGTCTCCCACTGGTTACAATACTGTGAAAGCCACACTTCCCAGAGACAGGGAGGACAATGAGAAAGTAGCAACCCAAACCAGATCCCTCTCAAGGTGAAAGAGGGCACTACTGACAACTACAAAGGACAGCAAGCATAAAGCTGGACCATTCTATACAAGCCAGGACCTATGGCGGAGCTCAAGGGACCACAGCAAAGTTACTGCCATAAACTGAACATTCAATTGTTCCAAGTCTCAGCTGTTTCGGAGAATGTAAATGCTGACTATAATATCAGTGCAACTTGACAACTATTTAAACAAAAACGTTTTAAATACATTTAAATTTCTCTTACCAATCATAAGAAATTCCTGAATCAAACTATGATTACCTAAATCAAGCTGCCATAGGTCATCTAGGCGAGCACCGCACATTCCACCAAAAACATACATCCTAGGATGCCCAGAGTCTTTTTTACAATATATAATCGCAGTATGGGACTCTCTCGGAGAAGGTACAATGCCTTTGGTAGTTGGGATGCTCCAGCCCACGACACCAGAACCATGCTGTAGTTCCAACTCATAGAAATCATTTAAATACCTACGACATCACAAATAAATGAAAACATTCAGATGATAGGTATGTTTATTTGCTTTTTTTCAATTCATAAACACAACATATGCTAGCCACACACAGTAGTGCATGCCTGTAATCTAAGTACTCAGGAGTTTGAGGCAGGAGGACCATGAGTCCAGGTCAGTATGAACCAGACATCCTATCTCAAAGAAGAAAATAAAAAGAAAAGGGGCTTGAGAGATGGCTTGGCAGCTAAGAGTGCTTACTGCTCTGGCAGAGGACTCAAGCTGGGTTCTTAGTGCTGACATCTGGTGGCTACAACCATCTGGAACTCCAGTTCCAGAGGATCTGATGCCCTTTGCTGTCCTGTCCTCTGTAGGCACCTGCATGCACATGGTGCAATAAACTCATGCGAACACACACTCAAACGTTTTTAAAAATAAAAATGTCTATTATATGCTTATTGTAAAAAAATTCACATAATACAGAAAGGCACTAAGCAAGCAAAACTTCCAGATATTTATTCATTCCATATATATTTATCAAACTCTACTACGTCCCAGGTACCTGCCATAACATATAGTGAAGACAGGAAACGTCTTACCAATACTCTTGTTACTGACCATGGTGATGGCTTTAAAACACAGTCCCGCCGGGCGGTGGTGGCGCACGCCTTTAATCCCAGCACTCGGGAGGCAGAGCCAGGCGGATCTCTGTGAGTTCGAGGCCAGCCTGGGCTACTGAGTGAGCTCCAGGAAAGGCGCAAAGCTACGCAGAGAAACCCTGTCTCAAAAAACCAAAAAAAAAAAAAAAAAAAAACAGTCCCAAATATCTGAAATATGTTCTTTCCATCAGGACATGAGATCCCTCTCCCCTTTACTGTAGGTGCTCTAGGACTGCTCTGAACAAGGGTACCCTGGCTGGCTTGTGAAGGCCAATGTATTCTTACTTATAATACTGCTTGTGAGGCAAATGGATGGAACTAGAAAAAATCATCCTGAGTGAGGTAACCCAAACCCAGAAAGACAGTCATGGTATGTACTCACTCATAAGTGGATTCTAGATATAAAATAAAGAACAATCAGACCACAACCCATAGAACCATGGAGGCTATATATATCGCATGGAGGTCCCTAGGACGACTGTGGCTTATAATAAATTTCGGTTTTACTCAATTATTGAAAAAAAATAGCCAAATGAATGGAAACACATGAACTATGAACCAAAGGCTGAGGGGCCCCCAGCTGGATCAGGCCCTCTGAATAGGTGAGACAGTTGACTGGTTTGATCAGTTTGCGAGGCAACTAGGCAGTGGGACCAAGTCCTGTGCTCATTGCATGAGTTGGCTGTTTGAAACCTGAGTTTATGCAGGGACACTTGGCTCAGTCTGGGAGGAAGGGACTGGACCAGGCTGAACTGAGTCTACCAGGTTGATTGCAGTCCTTGAGGGAGGATTTGCCCTGGAGGAGGTGGGAATGGGGGTTGGGCTGGGGGGAAGGAGAGGGGGTGGCAGGGGGGAGAATAGGGGAACCCGTGGCTGATATGTAGAACTGAATGGAATTGTAAAATAATAAAATAAAATAAAATAATAAAATAAAATAAAATAAAATAAAATAAAAACTGCTTGTGGAACTCTCCACCAAGCCCTGAAAAGGCCACTCAAGGGTCTGGTATGCAGCTCTGGTGGTAGAGTGTGTGCCCAGCACAGAGGAAGCCCTAGTTTCAGTCTCTAGCAATGAACATCCCAGACATGGTGGCAGATGCCTCTAATTTCAGCACTCAGGAGGTATAGCAGAATGATCAGAAGTCCGGTTGTTCTTGGTTACATAGTCCAAAGCCAGCCAGGGCTTTATGAGATCCTGTCTCAAAACAAGCTACACATAGGCATGTCAGGTGATAGCCCAATTGAATCCGTCCTTCAGCTAACTGCCCGATGTGGGGATAACCACTCAAGCTTTCCCACTCATGCCATTTGATTTCCTTACTTACAGAGTTTTTGAGCATGAGAAAAGTTGTTACTTTGCATCAATAATAACACAGCACTAGATAATCAACAGTAACTATGGACAATATTTCAGCAAATACCTTGAAGATATTGCTATCTGGAATGCTTACTTTTTAGCACACTATAATGTCATAGCAATGTCCTAAATAGTGTCTTAATTTAGAAACTGGCATTAAACTTGTCCTAAACAGCTTCTGTTCTTTAAAAACTGTCATTAATCTGTGACATACATACATATATATTTTTGTTTGAGACAGGGTTTCTCTGTGTAGCTTTGGTGCCTGTCCTGGATCTCACTCTGTAGACCAGCTGGCCTCAAACTCAGAGATCCGCCTGGCTCTGCCTCCCCAGTGCTGGCATTAAAGGTGAGCGCCACCACCGCCTGGCGACATGTATTTCTTACTGCAATGACTTGGCTTTTTTGCAAATGCATGCATATGTGGTATGCATGCATGTGTGCACACATGTGTAAGCAAGGGCTGACATTAGGTTGTTGTCTCTACCTTTTAGAGTTGAGGCAGTCTGTCCTGAACCTGGAACTTGGTTTGTTTTGTCTAGTCTTGCCCAGAGGCCTGCTGTTCCCGCCTCCTGTCTGCTGGGATGACATACGGCCACTAACTACACCCACCTCGGTTTCTATGTGGGTTCTGCAGACCCAGATGCAAAGTCCTCACACTTGCCCAACAAGAGCTTAACCTGCTGAGCTATCTCCCAATTCCAAAATGACTTCTGTGACAACTAATTCAATTTCCTACTAATTTTTATTCAAGTATGAAGGCAGAGAGCAGAACAGTTTAGAAAATAAAATCTGAACATTTAAAGACTGGAGAACTGGCTCAGTGACTAAGAGCACACTCCAAAGAGCACGAGTTCAGTTGCCCAGCACCCATTTCAGGTGGCCCATAGCCACCTGGAACTCCGGCTCCAGGGAGAGCCAACTCCTCTAGCCTCACTGACAGGCATACACCCACACACAAACACCCACATATATATACATAATTAAAGATAAATCCTTACAGCTATCGTGGTGGTGCACGCCTTTAATCCAAGCACTCAGAGATGCAGAGGCAGGTGGATCTCTGAGTTCCAGGCTACCATGGTCTACACAGGGAAACCCTATCTTAGAAAAAATAAATAAATAAAAATTAAAAAAATAATTAAACCAAGACATATATTGAAAAGGGGAAAGGAAAAGAGACAGTGATTCATTCTCTTTGGAAAAAGGGACAGACAGTATTTGCTAGTGTAATACATCTTAATAGACCGTATGGAGTATGAGAACAATGGTTTTCATTCAATAACCATATTTCACACCAAGTTTTCAGATAAAACTAATTTTAAAATAAACTGGTATTGTAAATGACCCACTTAATTTGAATTATAGCCTAAGACATACAAATATATTGGCATGAGCAATTATACAAGTATCAATTTAGTAAGGTGATTTCTGATTAGAAAAGAGTTTGAAAACATTCTCTAGGGACTGAAAAACACACAAATACATAAAAATGTGTTTATTGTTAGTCTCAAATATAAAAATGTAAGTCTAAGCCTTATAATAACTACAGATAAACTATTTTAATCTAAGTCAAAATAAGCACTTGATCTAGAACGAGCATACCTGGGAACATTATTATTTGAGTCTTCACTTTCATTTGCCAGACCACCAAACAAATAGCACTTGTTACCATACAAAGAGAAACTATGTCCAAGCCGAGGACAAGGAGGTAAACCCGACGGAGGAGGCTGGGGTTTCACTTTTTTCCATAGCCAACGGCTTGCCTAAAAAAAGAAGATATGCCTGTGAAAGCAGGAAGCATTTCTACCTCAGTACTGTCAACAATGAGCCACTATCCCAATGCCTCAGAGTCCAAATGACAAGTAAGTGGCTAACTTCTGGCTGGTTTGTTGAGACACGGTCTCACCATGAACTCTCTACACAGTGAGTTCCAGGACAGTTCGAGGCTGGCCTCAAACTCCAAAATATCTGCCTGCCGCTGCTTCCCAAGTGCTAGAATAACAGGCGTGTAAGTCTATGCCCAGAGAACTGGCTAACGTCTGCAATTAAAATGTATATCCTGGGAAGGCTGGCTGTGGTAATTCCAGAATTTGTGAGACAAGAGGACTAGGAGGTAAAAGGTATCTCTGGCTACTGAGTGAGTTTGAGGGCAGCCTGGACTATGTGAAACTTGTGTCACAAAGCTGTATGTATGTCTGTAGGTATGTGTGCATATGTGTTAGTAGACATTCAAGTGAATCTTCTCTATACACAGATTTCCACAATGATACACTAAGTTTACAATAATACTAAATACTATCACTTCTAATTTCTTCCAAGTGAAAAAATAAGTTTACACATAGAACTTTAAGATTAGATATAATTCGCCGGGCGGTGGTGGCGCACGCCTTTAATCCCAGCACTCGGGAGGCAGAGGCAGGCGGATCT